GGGGGGGCGCTTGGTGGTATCGAGCCCAACCAGGAGCGTGATGGGTCTGGTTCCCAAGGGCCAGGCCCACGAAAACTGCTAGCCACTCAGGGGAGGGCGATCTCAGAGGGCTACAACATTCGCCCGTATCTGTAAGGGTTCGTGTGGGTTGCACATGCTATCATGTGAATCACACTCGCTGCCGCCGGCAGGGAGGTGGTGGCGCAGCCGGGAATGGAAATGGAGGTAAGAAGCCACCGATCAATAAGTCTAGGCTGCATAATGAAGCTAAGGTCTCAATATTTTCGTCTCGTTGCTTTTTGTTTGCTAGGAGCTTGGCCGTAAAGGTACCGAGCGGACATGGTATTGGGGCCGGTTTGCTCGCCTAGAGGGATGCGGGGCAGGATAGTGTGATGTTGCCAATGATGCTACCAAGGCAGCAAGGCTACCGGAACAAGAAGAGTGGGGTATCACGAATCCATAAAGCTACCTAGTTAACCACTCGGAGACATGGGACAACCGCCGGTCTGGGACTCTGGACCGATGGGACCCGACGAGGAGGCTATAAAATGATGCATAATAAGAAGGCAGAACACGAAGAAAAAATCCCCAGACCTCCGAACCATGGACCGAGGTGTCGATTCATCAACCCCCAGTGACCCTCCGCAGTCCTTGGTCGCGAGACACCGAACTCCAAAGGAAAGGACCCCCCTACATACACAAGAATCATGATATCTTCCTGTAAAATCAGCCACTTCCAAGAAGGGCAAGGCGGGCCATGATCTTGCGCACAAAATGCAATGCTAGGAAGATAGTGCCGTGGATGGAAAAGACTTGGAGGACCTCTGTCGGATTTCGGTTGCGGACCTCGGTCTCGATAAAGCCGGGCCCGTCGGTTTTTGTGTCGGCGACGGCGTCGGGCCCCAGGAAACCGCTGCTGCCGAGAGGGGGGAAGCGGCCGGTGGCATAGTACTGCTCCATGAGCTCATCCTTTTCGTACCAGCGCTCGCGGAGCCAAACCTCAAACTCTTCGGGCGTGGCCAGAGGTATTTCGGAGACGGGGAAGCGGCGCCAGTAGAAGTTGACCGACTTTGGAGGGCGACCCTGGAAATAGGTGCTCGAGAGGGTGAAGAACTCCTCGCCATACCTACCGCGACTGTGGATTGCGGTGGCGGGGCGTAGCCGGCGGTTAGCGGGGGTGCGCAGGGGGACAATGCGTGGCGGGATGGGGGGCAGGTCTTACGGGATGCCTTCGTAGGCTACTGTGCAGTCGTAGACGTAATCGACAGTCCCTTTGAGCTCGCTGAGGCAGAAGTACATGCCGGTGCTGCGGGGTAGGAGTAGATGCCGGGGGTCTTTGATACCCATCTTGTCCGCCCACTGGGCCGACTTGATGCGTCCCTTGTCCGAGGCATTGGTGCCTTCAGGGAAAAGGAGCAGCCACATGGGGTTCAGAGAGCGTTGGTCCGTGTTGGGGTCGGTAGATTTGACTTTTAGCTTCTGCAGACGGTGGGCCATGCGAGGCTGGTCGACGGCCATCTTGCGCGACATGAAGATGAACCCATAGAACATCATTCCAGTGCCCATGATGGGTATGTACTTGAGCGACTCCTTAAGGATGATGTAGATCCAGCCGTGCGTTTGCGGGTCGTTGGCGTATGCCACCCACCACAGATAGAGCCAGTCTGTATAGATCTGTCAAGATGTCAAGACACACGTACGCACGTTAGCCTTCAGTCACGGAAAATAAACATGCCACTGCCCGATGACGCCCATCCTCCCACGCTCGAGCTTTGGGGAACGTGCCTGGTGGTTGGCGATCAGGACCAGGCGCTTGGGAAAGCCAAACTCGACCCTTCCGTCCTTGGCTTGGGTGATCTGGCCAGCAACAGAGGCATCGCCGCTAACACGAATGATGGTAGGGCCCCACCACTTCGTCATGGTGGTAATGGTGATGCCAAAGTATTGCTTGGTGACGGCCATGTACGCGTAGTACCAGTCACGGCTGATCCAGTAGAGCGGTGCGCCGATGAACTGGGCGGTGGCTATGCTTTGGAAGGGGCCGAGAATCAGCGGGCGCACCATGAATAGATGGCATATAACAGTCTCGACGGAACCCCCAGCATCTCAACCGCCCCACCCCTCTTCTCGGACATACCCAAGAACGCATGCGGCAAAATAGAGACCGAATGTGACCTGTCTAAACATCTGCCTTGCGCGGCCATATTTCTGTTCGCCAGCGGGATGTTCCGAGTCGAGCTTTAGCTCCGGGGCGGGTATTGCAGGCGCATCTGCTGCTTGGGCCGGCGGCCTGGCGCGTTGCCGCAGCTCCGTCGTCATGGCTGCGGGGATGCGGGACCGGGGGAGGTCAAGATCTCGCTCCGGCTGATCGGCGGTAGGCTCGGGTGGTGCGGCGGCGGCGGCGGGAACACACAGACGTGGCGGCCCGGAGGGGTTTAGAGCTGCGGAGGGCAGAGACGAAGGTGAGCAACGAAGACAGCCTGCGAAGAAGCCAGAGGTGATGAATAGATTGCGGCTTTAGAGAGACGAACCGCTCAGCAGTAGATAAGGTGGATGTCAGCCGGGCCTAAAGGTCAGCCCGGCGGCGCCGGAGGCCAACTACGATACTCGCAGCTGGGCTACCAGGAAGGGACCGAGGCCAGGCGCGGATTAGGCAGAAAGCTAAGGCACGAGGAGGTGGGGCGGCGGGTGCCGAGGCTGCCCCCTGGCGCTGGTCTTGCGGCTGCGCTGGTCGCGTGCGCGGGGCAGAGCAGCGTTGAGTCTGCCGTATTTTCGGTCGGTAGGTGTCGTGCTGCAAGGCAGAATGCTGTTGGCATCGGCGAGCGTTGATGGTCGGCGGCCGGGCGTTGGCCGTTGTCAAAAGCGTTTGCGGCGGCCGAGCTGGACAAAGAGACCTATGGTCAGCCTGCAACGCCAAGCAACAGTGCTGTTGGGCCATCTCTCAGGAACGGCATGGCGCATTCATTGCGCTACACACACACATACCTCAACACTCGGTCTGGCCTCTGTTCGTGGGCCCGTTTGGATTGCGCAACAGAGCAGCCCGCAGGCGGTGAGCTGGAAACAGAAGAGGGCGTTAGGCAGGGCAGACGCTGTGCTGTCCTTCAACCGCCGCGAGTGTCATCCGCATGGCGCTGTCGGGTCATCGTGGACATTGGGCATACACGGGCATGTCATCGCTGCTAAACTTTGGCTTTGCGCACGTGCCACACCACCTGGTCTGCTGACTCTTGCAAGCTGAGCTCGGTTTGGACAAGGAAGAGAATCTGCGGGCCTTGTCGAATAAGGGATGGCTCTGGCGTGCGCAGATAGAGTCGGTTTACCATGTACTCAAACACCTACGTATTTACCCACATACTCTTTCCGCAAGCCCGCATTGTCGCATTCTCTCCGACGAAAGTGCCGACGCTGCCAACTGAAGCTTAGAAATGCTCGCTGCAACAGAAATGCCGAGCGCGCGGGATGGCGCCATCCCCACCCCAGCCTGCACCACCACCGATCAAATGTGGGGCTTCCCCACACGGCCCGAGTGGCTGGAGGTAGCTTGGACAAGGTTCATTGGCGGTTTTGGTTTTGGTCTGTCTGCAACGTCCCGTCCAAAAAAAAAAGAAGAGGGAACAGCAGAAGGCGACAGCAAACAACAGCCAGACCAAACGACCGATCGCTAGCTCCAGTTCCCCCCGAATTGTGTGTCTTGTTATCCGCTGCGGCCTCTAGTCGTCATTATCATCCTGCCAGTCAAGAGCGACGCCTGTCCTGTGTTGTGCTGCCAACAGGGTGCCCCCCAGCTATGACGCACATGCCATGGTAGCTCGGCCCGCCCTGAGCCGACCCAACACCCAGCTTGAGACCCCGCTGCTTCCAACATCTTGACATGCTTCCACGGCCTCCGCCATACCTCCGAGTGGGCTCAAGCTCGTTGCTGCTTTCTCGGCCCCTCCTCGGCTGCCCCGCCGTCTGGGCCCCTCGCTGTGGCTCAACCGTTAGCCATGGCCGCAGACCCGTGAGCTTGGGCGCTTCCGAGCTTCGTGCGCCAGGGGCGCCGTCGAGGCGGCACTTCTCCGCCACTCGGCCCAGGCTCGAGATCCGTGACGTGTCTGCGCTCCCCGACCGCATCATCCCCAAGTACCAAGAGAGGGCTGCTTCGTCGCTGCTGCTGCTGCACTGGCCCCAGCCGCCGCGCAATATTCTCTTGATCCCAAAGCTACACGCCCCGCAGGTCACCCTCTCGGCCGTCGCCTTCGCTAAGCACCTGCATAGCAACTACCCCAACCTCAATCTCGTCTTCGAGAGCCGCATCGCCAGCGCCATCCATGAGAGCCTGCCCTTCCCCATCTACACCACCAGCGGCGGTGACCCAAGCCTCCAGTTCCCTAACAAGATTGACCTCGTCACCACCCTCGGCGGCGACGGCACCATCCTTCGCGCCGCGAGCCTGTTCTCATTGCAGGCCAGCGTGCCCCCTATTCTTTCCTTCAGTATGGGGTCGGTCGGCTTTTTGGGCGAGTGGAAGTTTGAGGAGTACAAGCGCGCCTGGAGGGAGGTCTACATGAGCGGCAGCGGCGTCGAGGTCGAGGACCTGTACGCGCCGCACACGCAGACGGCAGCCGGCGTCCTGGGCAACGGCGCCTCATCGCCCACACCCACCGTCTCCCGCATCGGCGAGGATGCATCCCCTCACCCACCATCGGGCTGGGAGGGCCACCCGGGAAAGAGCATGGGGCCCAGCCGCACCTCCAAGATACTGCTGCGACATCGGCTGAAGGTGGGCGTCTACGACGAGCACGGCGTCAACATCAACAGCCAGCTGATGCCCACCTCGACCGCCGAGCCTCAAAACCACCATGACGACGACCACGACGAAAATGCGGCGCGCCCGCCTCCTTCCTCGGCCTCGCCCTACCCCTCGTCTGCCTACAACAGGGCGACACCATCGGGCATACATGCCATCAACGAGCTCCTCATCCACCGCGGCCCTCACCCCCACCTCGCCATCATCGATATCTACCTCAACAACCACTTCCTGACCGAGGCCGTCGCCGACGGCATCCTGATCAGCACGCCCACGGGTTCGACGGCCTACTCGCTCAGCGCTGGCGGATCCATCATCCACCCGCTAGTCGGCTCCCTCCTCATCACCCCCATCTGCCCGCGCAGCCTCAGCTTCCGGCCCTTGGTCCTGCCGCTCAACACAAAGGTCACCCTGCGGCTCAGCGACAGGAACCGCGGCCGCGAGCTCGAGGTCAGCATCGACGGCAAACGCCGCGCCGGCGTCGGCATCGGCATGGAGGTCCACGTCGAGGGCGAGACGGTCGGCCGTTCTAGCGATGGCTCCTGGAGGGGCGGCGTCCCCTGTGTCATCCGCGCTCCTGGCAAGGCCGACGTCGAGGGCATCAGCGACGACGACGACGGTTGGGTCGGCGGCCTAAATGGGTTGCTCAAGTTCAATTACCCCTTTGGCGAGGCTGGTCACTGACGGCTTTTTTACCACTATTTTGGGGTTTATGACACTTTTTAACAAAGAAAACAACAAGAGGTACTTGTACATATAGATACCCGAGCACAGAGTGGGTGCTGATCATGTATGAGATCACTTATGGCGTTATACTTTTTCAATTTTCGGCAGTGACGAAGATTTCCGAACGATGCGCATCATGCTTAAACTCCACTTGACAATAGGAGTACACCCGGAAACAGACCCACGCCCACTACAAAGAAAATGGCAGTTCCTTCGAGGAATATGAATAGGAATAGTAAGTACGGAACTACTAAAAATAAAAAGGAAAAGAAAGAGAAAATACGAATAGCAATAGGAATGATAGCAGGAAAAAAATAAGAATAGGACAGCTTACGGCACTGACAAGTTCACTTAATCTTTAGAACCTCCTATGCAAAACCGCCGTTTTGTTTTTGTGGTGGTCGTGACACCCAAGACGGAGTAGCGCAATATTTACATGTATGACCTAAACCCTTCAACGCGCTCTTTCCCCCGCTTAGAACCGCTTTTGATATCACCCATTCTCCTTTGTTGAAAGTCTCCCGTCAACTTGGAGCTGGACTCCCCCGACTTTAGCCTCAAAGGTGGTAAATGACGATCGTCTCTAATAGGGAGGGATAACCGCAGATCCATGTGGGAAGGAGGAAGTGATCCATCTAACAGGGGTAGAGCAGGCGATGCTTGGGTATAGCTACCGATCCCGCGATCGGTGCGCGCTGTGGGACTGCACTTACGTGCTCCCCTTCTGGCCTTCCTCCGTTAGCCTCACACGCGCACACAGACCAGATTCTAACAATATGAATTATAAATACTGTGTTTTAAATAGAGCAATCTTGTTGCTTTAAGAATGTACAACTCCGGGCCATATACGGATAAACTCACAACACTACAGCCTCAAACAATTACCACGGCCATGATCGGGACGCGCCCAACAATTAACAAAAGCCAGACCTCCTCCCACCACTTTGAAATCCCACCCATATACAAGCCACCACGCTTGTCCTCCCACCTACCAGGCCACCCTGGCGAGGAAGCCGCGCGGCCAGGTCCTGACGCAGACCTTGCGGGCCTCGTCGAGCAGCAGGATAGCCGCGCCGAACGCCATGGGCAGGAACCAGTACTCAACGGGGACCGGGGTAGTGTCGATGACGGCCTGCAGGCTGGGCACGTAAAGCCAGAAGAAGGCCATGACGAGGGAAAAGGCTACGGCTGGAAACAGCCATAGGTTCTGCGTTTCCTTGTTGCCGACGGGCGCGTGCTGGAATAGGGAGAGCGTGCGCGTCCGTACGGCGAGGAGGTTGAACCATTGCCTAATCCGGATAATAAGAAGGAGTGTTAGAAAAAAGAAACCGGAAAGGAGAAAACGGGAAAGGGAAAACTTACATAACAACAAGGGTCACAAAGTATATCGAGCTTGCCACCTTAAGCTGCTGCGCGTAAAACTGCGGGTCCACGTCGGGCGGCAGCGCGCCAAAGGCGAGCCAGGTGCGGGAAAAGGAGATGCCCTGGCGCTCGAGGTACCAGTAGGCCATGGCGAAGGAGGCCGTCGTCTCCATCATGCCGACGACGCCGTAGCTCTGCACGATCAGCTTCCAGTCTACCAGGTGGTCGACGCCGACGCGGCGCGGGGGCCGCAGCAGCACATCGGCCTCGGGCTTCTCGTACGCGAGCGACGTGGCGGCCAGGCTGTCGGTGAAGCAGCATATGATGATCATGAGGAAGCTGCTCAGGATCTGCGGAAGGCCAAAGGCGACGTTGGTCATGACGGGCCAGAACTCGCTGAAGCTACCAGCCGGGAGCAGGTAGGCGATGGTCTTCTTCAGGTTGTCGAATGCTGTGAGGTCGTGGCGTCAGCTTTATAGCCGCCCCTGAGACGACGGCGAGTCCGAGAAAATCGGGTAGAGACACCAAAGGTATGGGCATAACAGAAGAGAGACTTACTCGTTCGTCCATATCTCACGGCCTCTACGACCGAGCCGAAGGAGTCGAGGAGGACCATGTCGGCGGCCTCGATAGCGATGTCGGACCCGCCGCCGACGGCGATGCCGACGTCGGCGGCGCGGAGGGCGGGCGCGTCGTTGACGCCGTCGCCCGTCATGCCGACGACGTGGCCGCGGGCCTGCAGCTCGCGTACGATCCGGAGCTTCTGCTCGGGCGTGGTGCGCGCGAAGACGACCTCGTTATACGACCCGACCAGCGCGTCCCACTGCGCCGGCAGCAGCGACTGCACGTCGGCGCCCGTGAGCACGATCGACATCGACAGGGGGGGCGCGGCGTCCGAGTCGACCCTGACGTGCTTGCCAGCCGGCGCCGGCGCCGCGGGAGGAGGGGTGTCGCGCGAGAGCGCCGAGATGTTTGCCACGGCGCTGTCCGGGTTCGTGATGATCCTGCACTCCCGCGCGATGGCTTGGGCCGTGAGGGCAAAGTCGCCTGTGACCATGAAGATGCGCACGCCGGCGCAGCGCAGCGTCTGCACCACGTCGGGGATCTCGGGCCGCGGGGGGTCCACGATGGCCACGAGGCCGACCAGGGTCAGCCCTGAGGCGGCGTGCTCCGTCATCTCGCGCTCGAAGCCCGAGGACTGGACCGGGTTCTTGAGCGAGGTCCGGGAGATGGGCTTGTGGGCCAGCAGGAGCACGCGCCGGCCCTGCGCCGACCAGTCGTTCTTGATCTTGTCGACCTTTTCCAGCATGGCCGGCGTCAGGGAGATGGAAGCGCCAGACTTGCTCACGTAGCGGGAGCACCTCGGAAGCAGGACGTCGGGCGCGCCCTTGATGGTGAGGAGCATGTCGCCCGGCTCGAATATGGCGCAGGTGTTGGTGGGGATGGCGTCGGCGAGCCCGGCGCGGTTGGCATTGCTGAAGGCGCGAATCATGAACTTGTTCTTGCTGTTGAAGGCCAGGTCGAAGCGTGTGTGCCAGAAGCGTCTCGACTCGGCCACGGACCCGAGGCTCTCAGCAAAGCGTAGGATGGCCTGGTCGGTGGCATCTCCTCGGACCCGGCGCTCCTTGAGCTCCAGGTGCTGCGTGGCCGCGTCGAACTCCCCTGCGTTGCAGAGACCAGCCACCGTCCGAAGCTGCTCCAGAGCGTTCACTGCCAGATCTGAGGCGTCGCGGTTTGCAAGGAGCATGTCCAGCGCCTCTTGTGCCGTCATAATCTGGCCTGCAACAGCCGCCTCCGTGACCACCATTTTGTTCTTTGAGATAGTGTCAGTATCCAGCAATATCAGTCGTACGTGTATTGGGGGTGACATTTGGTCGAATACTCACCTGCGTCAATGTCCCCGTCTTGTCCGAGCAGATTACAGAGACTGCTCCCAGCGTCTCGACCGTCTTGAGAGACTTGCACAAGACCTTGTTTTTGCGCATCATGTTGGCGCTGATGGTCAAGCTGGCCGTGAGCGCCACCGGCAGACCCTCGGGGATAAAAGCCACAGCGACGGACACGCAGCTGACGATGAGGTTGGGTACGTTGATCCAGTTAGGGTGTTCTTTTCGCAGCCAACCGGCCCTAATTTCAATCCAAGCCAAAGATTAGCGAAAACCTGTCCCAATGTTTGACAAGCCTAGGGATCTTTGGCTTACCAGAGAGCAATAACCAGTATTATCATGAGCAACATGATCGAACAGACTGGAGGTCGCACGCAGCGTTAGTGTGTAGTTTGGCGGATGGACGTCCCAAACAACTCGAAACCTGCTTACTGATCCAGACAAAGTTGGCCACCTCCTTCTCTAGGGTGGTCATGCCCTTCTTCGGCTCACTCGTGAGCTTGGCGATCCGGCCAAAGACAGTCATGTCTCCCGTAGCCACCACAACTCCGAGGCAAGTCCCCGACACGCAGTGTGTGCCCTGGAGGCCTATGCATCGTGTCTCGAGGTAGTTGCTGTCGGTCGAGTCGGTCGAGGCGGATATAGGGACAGATTCACCTAAGGCAGATGGTTGGTGTTAGCTCTTGCGGCGGCGAAAGGGACCAATATTCCAGAGCTTCAACCGTACCCGTCAGAACGGAGCGGTCAAACTTGGCATCCGATGAGACGTCGACGAAACGCACGTCGGCCGGCAGCTTGTTCCCCGCCTTGATGACGACGACATCCCCAGGCACGATGTCCTGCGCCAGCAGGTCACACTGGACACCCTCGCGGATAGCGAGGCACTCGTCTGGGAGCATTGTCTTGATGGAGGCCATGACGCGGGAGCTAGACCAGTCCTGCAACATGTTGAAGCCGGCCTGGATGAAGAAGACGGCGAGCAGGACGATGGCCAGCGCCAGGTTGGCCGTCTGGGGAGGGTCGCCCAGGGGCTTCCAGGCGATGAAGACGAGGATCGAGCCCGCGAGAAGGATGGGACCGAAGCCCTTGAAAAAGTAACCCAGTGTTTGCCGCACGCGCTGCGTCTGCGGCGGCGTGGGCGCGTTCTTGCCATACTGCTTAATCCGCCGCTGAACCTGGTCGTCGGAGAGGCCTTCCTTGAGAGAGCTGGAAAGCCGGCGCACGAGCTCGTCCACCGCGATCGTGTGCCATTCGAGATCCGCAAGATCTAAAGTCATCGAAGGGGAATAAAGCGTCAGAAAAGCTACGTTTAAACCCCACATTCAGGGGGCTGGATATTCCCGCAAACATCAGATATCGCTTGGCATAAGAATATCTTACCTGTCGCCACCGCATCTTTCTTTTTAGACTGCGAAGCGTTGGCCTGGTAGTCCTCGACATCGATGGATCTAAGCAGCCACCATTAGAACGGTTAGAACAGTCACACCGCATACACACAAGCCAACACAGAACCGCAGTGCTAGGAAATGTCCCAGGGTGGGAATTGTAAGTCCGGTGGGAATGGCCTTTTGAAAAAGAGGAAGAAAAAGAGGAATTTGAAAGCCACATCTCAAACGATTCTGGTCCCTGGGACCTGTAGAACTGCCATATCTTGTTTGGGCACGGTGCCTGGGCATCAATGCCCCGTGGGAGAGCCATCGAGACAAGATTGAGCTTACAGTGTGCGGTATTGGATAGGGATAGCTGCAGACGGATCGATGGAGCCAGCTCTCGAATGGGCGCTATGGATCGACATGGAGCCGCGAGAGTGCGCCCTTCGCAGTGTCGGGCGCCCTCTCTGGCCCTGGCCGGCCTCCTCGTCCGCGGGCTGCCATTTGATCCCCTGGCGGACAGGCGAGGCCGGCGTTTCGGGCTGGGAAGGTTCTATGCGATCCATTTGGGGGGAGGCGAGGGAGAGATAGGTAGGCCCGTCGCCCAGGACGAGGCAGGGAAGACGATCAGGGGCTAGAGGAACGGGAGGAGAAAACGGGAGCGGGAGGAAGAGGGATAAAAGGGATAGGAACGAGAGTAGAGAACCCCCCAAGAGTCAGGGCATCAAGGGTCGGGCGTCCCAGCAACCTTTATACTCTCGAGGGAGAGCCCACCGCCGAACAAATACTGTTTGTTCTCATGTCCATCACGGGGATAGGTGGCTGAAGCTTCCCATCAGGGAAATGAAATTCGCGCAACGGCCGTCTCACTCTTGACGCGCCAGCGACTCCAGTCTTCCTAGGACATCCCCACACTACCTGGTACGTGATAATGCGAAAAGGTTCAACACAAAATAGTGTCACCTCCCGTCTGCTGCGAAGGAAGGTCTTGGCAGTCATTTCAACACGCCAACAGCCGGCCCATGGCTGCCCACCAGCAGAGGTTCAGCGCCGATCAAGCCCGAGCGAGCGGGGGCATGCAACAGTAGCAGCCCGGGGGGATAGGTAGGGGGAGAGAGAGAGAGAAATACCGCCCGTTCCAGCGACCCGGTCTGCAAGCCCGCGTCGCGGGGGCCACAGCAGGATGGAATGCGAGCGTGTATCCGGGTAGGGAGGCCTCCTCCTCCTCCCCCGCGACAGCAAGCCCTCCCCGACCCCATTACGTAGCCGACATGAAAAGCACATGCATGCAGCAAAGCGGTACGCACCAAGCGACACGGGGCGGGTAGACGTGAGAGGAACCTGGTCGGAAAGCTGCAGAGGAGAGCGGCGGGGAGGCACGGGAAGGGGAAGGCCTGGCTGCTGGGCAGGCAGGCAGGCACAGTCGGTGAGCCGGGAGCAGGTGGCCAGCCAAGCCAGCCAGGAAGCCATGGCTCGTGCTGGCGCACGAGTCGGCGGCGGCGGGAGCGAGAAGGCACATTTGCGCCCGCGGACCGCCGCCGCTGTTTCTGGTCCGGATTGCTGTGGAGGGTCTGGGTGTGAGCGTGGACGAGGGCGAGGGCGTGAGCATGGGCGATGGTGAGGGCGAGGGGGACGTGGGCGTGGGCGGGTGACGCAAACAGGCGAGGTCAGGGCCGGCGTCTGAAATTAGCGGGCGGTGTAGAGGCGTAACAGCACGTTTGTATATCGCTCATAGTCCGGAGATGGTGTGTGGACAGGCGTGGTGATATTGGGGCTCCGGCCGGGGCCCTTTTCGGCGAGCCAGGTTAGCCTGGCACCCCTGGCATCAGCGATGTTTGCCTTCTCTTTTTTTTTGCCAGCGGTGGGGGGGAACGACCTGGCAAGAACAAGCTTTTGGCGAGGCAGTGCCAAACCAAAGAAAGCTCCTTCCTGCCCCCACACTTGCAGCTCCACGCCAACGCGCTGCCGACGCGACGACGACGCCCTCAGCCACCCCTGCCAAGAAATTGGGACCGCTCGCTGGCGTTGGTCCGAAAATGACGGGCATATGGGTGCGTGCACGATGTGCCTTGGGTGCATGTACGTACCTATGAAGGTATCAGGCATACCCAGCTGCTCAAGGGATTCCCTAATCGGGAAATCCGGTCGCATGAGGTCGTGAAGTTTTGCCATTTTCCTGGCCAGCCCACTCCCTCTGGGCCCCTTTTCCCTCTTCGTATACCTACTCCCATTCCCCAACTTGTACCCTCGCGTGCTCAAGCGAGCACGGCAACCAGGTGACGGACATGCCGCTGAGGAAAAAAAAACATTATTCTGACATTGAATATGATGCAGTAATACTCTCGCTACCTCCTAACCATGCCGCCAAGACGCTGCTTCGTCAATATGCACATATGCATAACCACCCTACTCATCGTGTATGGGACTGACCCTTTGCACCAGAGGGGCTCCCTTCGGTGTAGCCCAGACCAAAGCACAAGGCTACCTTCTATACCACGGGAAAATATAGAATAACACCAACAGGACACCTGGCAAACGTTCGTTTAGGGGGTAAAAACCCGGCTCTCTTCTGCGCAAGCCTCGCAGCCACATTTATATGCCATCGACAAAACAAGGGGAAAAAAAACTGAAAACAAAAATCAGTACTACCCGGCCCGCATGGCGTATACAGACATCTATCCTTTCCTTTGCGCATGCTGCAGCTGATGATATCCGCCTCTGCCAAATCGAGTCGCAGCGTCTCTCTTGAAAGCACGCGCGATTACCAAAAGCCAACAGACGCGGGGGATAAAGCCAGTTTTAATGAATATGCAAGAGAGGGGGAAAACAAAACAACAACAAAAGACGGTGAGAAAATGTGGTAAAAGAGCCACAGCCTCACAAGCATGACAATGCTCAACAAGAACGATTTTCGGTGCCTTCCCATGAACCCCAAGGAAATCTGTGCCGGTAACAAATCCGCCGGAAGCGCCCGTGGTCTAGGGTGGCTCTTCCGAGAAAGGAGACAGAGAAAACAAATACACGTATTGATAATACGGCAACAACCCTGTTGTACCGAAATATCTCTGAAGGTGCAGAGAATTAAAGGCTTTCCGGGACCGGGAGAAGGCCGAGCAGCGGGGAAAGACTGGCTCAGGCGTGCGGAGGAGTGTTACCGCTGGAGCTGACAGGACTTCCCTCAGCATCCGGCAGTTCGCTTGGCGTATCCTCGCGGATGCTGGCGAGGCCAGCAATGCTTTGCAAGGGCGCCGTGCTTGGCCCTGCACCAGAGCCCAAAGAGCCGGCCCCCGAGGCGGATTGACGAGGGATAGGCGCCGTGGAAGACGTCGATATTCCAAGGTCGCCGTGCGTGTGCCCCTGCCCGGCGTGTGCAGCGCTCGAGCCAGACCCAGAAATGCCCGAAGAAGGCCCCGCCAATCCAGCCTCTAGAGTCGCTCCATGAGAGTAAGGAGGTGCAGGCGCGTTGTTGTCCGCGGAGACCACAAAGGGATGATGATGATACCCGGCCCCGCCAAAGCCAGCGCCGGGGAAGACGCCGCCTGGAGCGAACTGTTGTCCAGGCGCTCCTGGAATCGGGGGCGGCGGAGGCGGCTGAGCCGGGCCAGCAACGCCTGTGATGGCGTAGTGCGTAAAATTGTTCGGGATACCAGGGTTGAGAGGCATGTTATTGTTGACAAAGGGCTGTGCATCAACAACCATGCCGTCCCCATCTTCCATGCCGTCGTCGTCGTCAATCGCATCCGGCTCCTGTTCCTCAGCATCAAAAGACGCGTCCAAGGTGGCCTGGAGGTGATTCGTCCCCTGAACAAGGGGCCCGCCGCCCGGCAGAGAATGCCTTCTGCTCTGGAAAGCGGGGCCCCTGTTCTCGTGGAGGTCCGCAAAGGTGGGCGAGTTTAGGTACCGCCGGAGATTCTTGACGCCATCGCCTGAGAACACCAAGAATACATTGCGTTGATGCTCCGTGAATTCTGTAGAGCGACGATAATCACCGTTAGTTGCTTCCCGCGAATGTAGACTAAACGTCCAGAACCTAGCAAAATTTCCTCGTACCTGGTGGTGCGTCGCGGCAAAACGCACTCAGATCCTCCCGAAGGAAGGCCTGCACGCCAGTCAAGCTGAGGTGGGTCAGGCGCGGGCACGAGTTCAGAAGCCTTATGATACCCTGTTTTCTCCGGGTTAGCGTCCCGTGACGATTTTGGGAGCAGTATGGCCACTGATGAGACAAGGGGCGGAGGATGGCTACCTTCAATGTCAAGTTTGTGCAGTAACTCAAGTGAACACGCTCAAGGCTGCTCTGGCTGTAATACGAGTTCTGAATGGGGTTTCCCTGAGCATCTCGGCGCTGGCGGTGGCGCTGATTCGCTTTGGCCAGGGCAAAAATGCTCTCGTCGGTGATGCCGGAGCACTTGACAAGACCAATGCGCTTCAGTTTAGGCAACGTTGCCAACTGGGTCACCGAGTCATCGGTCAGGTGCGTGCAGCAGCCGAGATCAATATACCGGATCCTGTTGCACTTGGCCACTAGCTTCTTGACAGCCTCGTCCGTAATGTTGTGACAGTGACCTAGATGCACATAGTGTAGGTTCTTCCCAAGCTCAGCAATGGCATGCACAGCAGCGTCCGTGATGTTCCTGCACTTGGACAGAACCAGGTTCCGCACACGCGGTGCTACATTGATGATCTTCTCGACGGCGCGGTCGGTCAGCGCCGAGCACGACGTCAGATCAAGGATGCGTAGGTGCTCGAATCGGGTGTTCGGCAGTGACAGGAATGCGCCGTCGTCAATCAGGTCGCAAAAGACAAGGCGAAGCTCGCGGAGTGACAGGGCCTTTGACAGAACGCTAGTGATCGAAGCGTTACCAACATTGCGACACTGCATCAGGTCAATCTCGAGGAGGTTGGGACAGCTCTCTGCGAAAGCCTGGATTGCCGTGTCGCCAAGTTGCCTGCAGTCATTGAGTTTGAGCTGTTCCATCACAACCCGTCAGCGAAATACGGCTAATAAAACGTGGCAGCTATAATAGCCAGCGCAACGGATACACACCCGCTTGATATAGCGACAGCTCTGAGCAAGGACCGCCATGCTGTCATTCGAGATGCGCGTGCAGCCCGAGACGTTGAGGCCTTGAAGCCTCTTGCAGTGCTCGGCGATGGCGAGTATGGAGGCATCGGTAATCTGGTCGACGGACGACATGTCAAGCGCCAGCAGGTGGCTGTTGTCCTGGACCAGTGCGATCAGGCCCGAGTCGGTGAGGCCCTTGCAGCTCGTCAAGGTGAGGCGCTCAACACGGTTGCAACCTGAAAGGGGCATGACACTGCCATCGTTGACCTTGTCGGCGAGGGCGGCTAGGTTGAGGCGCTTGATAAAGTGAGGGTACGCAAAGTATGGGGCCTCTTGGCCGAGTGTCTGGCAGATCATCGAATGCTTCTCCCAGCTGGTACACGAGGGGCGATGCCACAACAAATCAACCGTGTTCTTAGCCCAGCGCTTGCAGGTGAGCATGCAGCGGAGCTGGTCAGCCGGGGACGCCAGGCGGGAGAAGATGCTGATGAGGATCTCGTTGGGAAGGCGGTTGATGGGCGGCAGGCAATTGACATCGTCGGTGACCTGCATGTCCTGGAGGTTGGGGACGCCGAGCGATGATTGCGAGTCGTTAGAGCCGAGGTAGAAGTCAGACTCCTCGATTTCGTTCGGCGCCGGCGAGTTAGTTGATGATGAAGACCGCGAGTCTCGGGCGTCCGTCTGCGTCGCAATAGCGTCGAGCGATGGCGCTTGCGGCTGGCCTTGTCTCCTCTCGGGTCGCGTCGCGAGGCCAGCCTGGGGGGCGTCGGGCCCAGGCCCGGGTCCGGTGACGGACGACATGGCTCGTGTCGATGGTCGGATACGACGGGACGTCAATGGTCGGGGCCAGATAGCTGGATCGGGGGGATATGGGGTGAATGAGTGATGGACGGGATGCCGGGGAGTAGCTCTCGATGCTTATTCTATCGCTCGTTTGCGCGCGTAGGGAGGGGGGCCAATCGAGGCAGTCGAATCACAGCCAGCGGCCGACAGGAACCTGTGCGGATGTCGCAGGGACGAAGCGGCAGGTAGCGGGCAAGAAAGAGTGTCAAAAGCGCGGCGGAAGCGCGTGTCAAAGCGAGATGTGGTTTGGCGGTAGGTAGGATTAGGCGGATAAAAACACGACGGAGGTTGGTGGGCGGTTGAGAGCAGGTACATCAAGTTGGATTCCAACGGAGGACACAAGCGGGGTCCCGCTCGCGGGAGACAACTAAGGACGGGTCGAGGCCAAGGTTGTCGGCACGGACGCACGCCTGTGAGTCCGACCACGCAGTTCAACAAGGGAGCAGCCCAAACCAGTTTGGGCTCCACTGGCGGAAACGGGGCTGTCTAGCCAGAGATTTCGAGCTTCTGGGCGGTTGCTGCCCGGCAGAGGTCGAGTCCGGCGTTGGGTTCTTGTCGCTAGGTCGAGTCGCTGGGTTGAGTTGCGTGGTTGAGCTGCGTGGTTGAGTTGTATGCGGCTGTGTGATGGGCAGGACCTGGACAGGACCTGGGCACGGCAACCGCAGCTGGGCTTCTGTGCTGTGCTGGGGTGCTGGGAAGGGCTCAGTGGAAGGTGAGACGGGACCGCCGGCGAGGTGGGGCTCTTTTGCCGCTTTCAGCCTCGTTCTGGTGCAACGCAGCACTCCACTTAGTGGGCGGGAGTCCAAAATTAGCTGCAGAGTCTGGTCGAAACGCTGGCACAAAGCGATTCTGAAAGCACGCGGTGTCTTCTCGCGGACAGCGGATACAAAGGCATTTAATACGGCACGCAGAACCCAACACAGCAAGCACCTAGACACGCATCACATACCTAGCACACAACACACAGCACAGCTGAGGTCTCCCGACCCTCCAAGGGTGAAAACAGTCTCCCAGTGACACCTCACGTGCACCGAGGGAGTCCCTCCTCCGACCCATGAATCAAAGACACCGGCTGGCAAAACTCGGTGATGCAGCCACGTGCGCCCAGCTGGGGGTGCATTCCGAGACCCTGGACGGGAATGTCATTCCAAACCACAAACACTGCATGACGGCCGACTCGCAGGCGGAGACGAACACTCAAATGTGGCCACGGCGACCCCGCATAGCCACTTGCGAAAGTCCTGACGGAAAGTTTGAGTCGAGCAGCGTCTGGAGGAGGCCCTGTCGCATGCAGCGTTCACAGTTCAGACGGGAACGGGGCGGCCACCTGCCGGATCAGACGCTCAGCGCCGCACCCTCACTCACGCAGCGTGGCTGCGGCCGGTCTGTCGCCAGCCCCGACCTGCCGACCCCACCGCCAGCAGCACCGACTGATGCCGCTGCTCAAGTCGTCCGAGATCGCTCGTTGGCCGCCACGGTGGACCGGCGCTTGGCTGCGTCGCCTTGGCTGAGTTGTTCTCGTCACATTGTGAGTCAAGGCGCGGGCAACATCTTGTAAAGTAATCAAGGCCGCGGCCGAGATAACATTGAATCGCTCCGCGCCGTGCAGCCGTCCATCTTCGACGGCACACGGAATGACGGGCGGGGCCAGGGGTTTACGTAGTACCTGCAAGCCTCGCACACCAGCACACCTGGTATTTTTAACTCTGGTTCTTACTGGTCTTCGTAGCGCTCTCATATTTCCAACGGCCCCCATCAACACCTGAGCTTTTTTTCTTTGACGGGACCGTTTGCTAAAAAGCAGCTAGCGGGGATCCTTTTTTGTCACGAGATTCCCTGATCTCTGTCACAGCCCACTCAGGCAGAAACCACGAGACCTGCGTGCTCAGTGGTGCTGTTGGGCTCTGACCAAATAAGGTATCTCATCCGATCAGTGTGCCCGCTCACCTTGATTGGGGCAGTAACATTGAACATCCGTTGTAGTCCCTTGCTCAAGCTCTCGAGGCGCACTGACCACCTTACCGTGCTCCCCGCAGCAGCTCCCGTGGCATGCAGTTGGAACTTCCCAACGAGATTCCTTGCATGCTTAGATCCATCGAATGACGTGTGTTTCCCAATGCAATGCGAAGCTCAGGCCACAAAAAATCCATACCCCGACCGACCCGGCAGCCTGGGCGGCACGATTTTAGAGTCCAAAATACCGGACCTGCCCGACCCCATGCCGTGATCCATTGACGTCGTCGCGCTTTGCATCTTGCCCAATTCAAAATGCTCCGCCAACAAGCCCTGCGGCAGCTCCCGCGCCAGCCCTCCCTGCATCTGGGATGCGCCCCGAGGAGGACGTTCCTTAACCGAGCCAAGAGCTCGTCGGGCCGGGCGGTCGAGCGGCTCAGCCACCGGCGCCTGGCGCAGGAGCAGCAGGACTACGAGCGCATGCGCCGCAACTTCCTGACCGCCGGTGCCATCGCGGGCGTCGTATCCTTCATCTACACCTCGGTCAAGCTCAAGCAGGCCCTCGACAAGCCCGCCAAGCTTGACTCGACCCTGCCGCCGAACGACCCCCTGCTGACCGACGCCCGGCGGAAGGTGGTGGTCCGCGACGAGGAGGGCCGCGAGATCGTCCCGACGGGGAACTCGACCGTCCCAACCTTTCCGAGGACCATCAACCTGCGGCCGGTGTCGGCCGCCCCCGCCCCCGCTTCGGCGACGGCCATTGTCAACCCATTGGCCTCGGAGCAGACAACCGAGTACACGCTGGTCGGGCTCGGAACCCGCTCTGTCAGCTTCTTGTCGATCAACGTCTATGTGGTGGGCTTCTACGTGGCCACGGCCGACATCGCCGCCCTGCAGGCCCGGCTCGTGAAGCGGATCAACCCGATAGCCACGACGCTGATCGCCAACGAAAAGGACGACCTGCGCCAGGCGCTCCTCGATCCCGCCCAGAGCGAGGAGGTGTGGAATGAGCTGCTCCGCGAGGGCATCCCCGCTCGTTCCGCCTTCCGGATCCTGCCCGTCAGGGATACCGACTTCCACCACCTCCGGGACGGCTTTGTGAGAGCCATCCAGGCGCGCTCGGACAAGATCCAGAACGAGGCGCAGGGAGACGGCGGCGCCGACAGCGTGGCCGTCAAGGACAAGTTCGGCGAGTCTGTCCGTCAGTTCCGCCATGCTTTCAACAGGGGCAAGGTGCCCAAGGCCAAGGAGCTCCTCTTGGCCCGCGATGGTGACGGCAAGCTCGGTATCATCTACTCGGACGGCAGTCCCAAGCGGGAGAGGGAGCTGATTGGCACAGTGGACGACGAGAGAGTATCACGCGCTCTGTGGCTCAACTGGCTTGGGGGCAAGAAGGTGGCCAGCGAGCCTGCCCGCGCAAGCATTGTTGACGGCATCATGGAGTTTGTCGAGCGCCCAGTTGGAACCGTTGCGTCTCAAGTTGTATGATTCCACGACGAAGAAAAAAGGATCCGGCAAAATGTATATTAAAGACCAGCCATGGGACAGTTCCTGACCCATCGCCGCCTCTTATAGGGGATCGAGTATCTCTGAGGCCACGATATCTGCATGATACTTCCGGGCTCCTCCACATTGTATTTTTGCGCAAAAGTGGTCGTGTCTAGAGTTGGACGTAGCTATTTCGCGTTTTTTTGTTCTCCTTTTCGCGACGGCAAATCTATGTGACCTCCCCACAGGTTGGTCTACCGCTCAAAGGGACGGTCCTCCCCCGCGGCCATGTCTGCCATGGGTGGTGCTGGTAAGTCTATGTAGGTTTCGTGGAACGCTGCAGCGTCCATTCGATTGCGATATGAGCACGCATAGCTCCCTCACTCTAAAGCGCCGGCGTCCTTGAGCAGGGTCGACAGGTTCGCGAGGGCCTGCAGGTCCGAGTTGCCGCCAATGTGCTTCTTCGCGATGAAGATGTTGGGCACGGACCGTTGGCCCGTCATCCCCTCGAGGGCATCCTGGATGGCGCTGCCGTCGCCTGCGAACAGAGGAAAGAGGGCGTGTCAGTCAAGATACGCGACCGCCGCCACACTAATGCGGCCATGGCATGCGATTGGGAGGGTGGGGGAGCTCTACTAACCCATCTTGTCCAGCTCGATGGCGTTAAATTTGGCGCCGAGATCCGTCAGCTTGCGCTTGGTCGCAGTGCAGTAGGGGCAGTACGACTTGCTGAAGACCATGACAGCATTCTCATCGATCAGCTGCTGGGCCTTGGTCTTTGCGGCTTCCGTCATTGCGAGAGATGGTTTGCCAGTGAATATCGATCTGAAGAAGGATGAGATCATGGGATGTTTGGGGTTGGCTCGGGTGGAGAGCCGGAACGCGGGGAGGCTCGAGGAGGGGTGAATGCTCTGTCGGGGGTTATATACAGTGGAGCTCTGACGTCGGCAATGCGCTGGTTGGCGTGCTCGCTCAGCGCATGTGGAAGTGACTGCCCGAGCTGCTGAGGGACGGGCAGGGCGAGAGACAACGCTGTAGCCAAGATTGGGTGACCGCCGCGAGCCATGGGTGCATGCACCGCACTTTTTGATTGGGACTTCTGGTTGGATGGTATGAATCCGTGTGGATTCGGATTACTAGGGATTAATAATGTCGTTGATTGCTAACCACTGGCGGGTTTCCTCCCATTCGATTTCATGCCATCACCAGTGGCGCCCTAATTCCAAACGACTTCATAATTGATTGCCCAATATACTCGCACTACGTGGAACAGTCAGATAGTCGGACAGATACAACACAAATATTGAGGGTCAAAATACAGCCACAGGCCATCTCCTATCCCGGTCTTGTGTCCTTAGCCCCCTTATGACGTTACCGGCAGCGGCCAATTTGGTGCTATTCCAACCGGGAATGGCGACGGCCCAACCTCAGGTCAGCGTCTGAGCACAACATGAAGGCTGTCATCAATTGGAAGGCAAGGGAAACCCGGGTTCGAAGCCTCCTGGCGCACAACATTAGCGCGCCGGCATTCATATGCACATCGATATTGGGCATGGGATCACGCCGCCCATGCCCAGCTTGTGGGCATGCATTAAGATCTCAAAGTAGCCATCGAAGTTGAATCAAGACCTCGCCTGTGGCACTCTTGCCAGCCCGATCGCCACAGCTCGCCTTGCACAGCCTGGCCGAGTCATGAATACTACTGCGTTAGCTGGCGTTCAGTAACCATACGTAATAACAATGCGGCGGTTACCTAAGGGCCTCCTGAAAGGAATGCCGAGATGAATGAGGGCAAACGCGTGACCAACTGCAATTAGAAGAATGATACGAGATTGATCTTGGCTGAGATGGCAGGTCGCGCACCGAGTGAGAAATCACCTTGTTGGTGGTGAATGTAAGCGACAAAAGAAGTGACAAAATGAGGCTTCAAGCGTGGATGAAAACCAAGACAGGACCACTTGTCACGCAAAGGGCAAGGGGTGATGAGATCACGGGAGCAGCGCCGCTGTGGCTTGCCTGCCAAATGTAAAAGAGATCTGGGCGTTTTGATGGCGGCGTGTCATCATCCCGAGCCTGGCTCCAGCCAAGCGCTCCATAGGGCGAACTGGGATTTCCCTGCACGTTCCAAGTTGCTGGAGCCTTTCCTCGTTCGTGGCTCCACTCAGACCACTGCCGCCAACAGAAGAGCGACAACCTCCCCAAAGACCCAGTCAGAAAAAAACCACAATCTGCTGGGCCTTGCCATCCATCCGGCTCGAGTGGCTGACCATCTCTGCCCAAAAGCCGTCATTCAAACACTTTGGCCCGGGCCGCAACGAAAAAAATAACAGAACCCCCGGCGCATTTTGGGGCTTGCCGTGTCCGCTTCCAAGGTCGAACCCCTCGCCAATACTAGCCCGCTTCCCTCGCACTGCCTCGTGGCCTCTCCCCCACGCCGCCCTCACTCGTCTGTCGTGTCTGCTCGGCCTGCCCGAAGGCAAAGCCCCTTTGCTACCATTTTTGTTTCTCGCCTCTCTGCTGCTTGTGGTACCAGGCGCTTTGTCGCTAGGTCGCCCAACAGCGCAACCCCCACCTACGTGCAGGCCGGGACTCACCCATCTCCGCCCTATGGTCACTCCGCAGCAGTCTTGCGAGTAATTGGTCAGGCTATAGGACCCCCCCTCGACTGAGGAGAGCCCTCGACATCCAGTCATTTGGATCGTGATCAACCCACACAGCTCACTCGAATCCCCTCGATCAGCGTCCTCGCGAGGACGACAAAACTCCGTCAAGGTGGCTTCAGGACAGGGAATCCTGGCATCCACTGGTGCTTCGTTTGCCAACGTCGCCAACTTGACCGCCTCGCTCTTCCCCAAACTCCCTCCCGGCCTCCAGTCCTACGTCGACGCGACCGTCCTCCGCCTGGCCTCGGCCGCCGACGCCTCATCAGACTACATCCGCTCCACAACAGGCCTCTCTCCCACTGCTGTATACGGAACTCTCGCCGGTGTTATATTGCTTGGTGCCCTCCCGACTGTTGCCGCACGAGCCACGCACAACAGGAACATCGCCGGAAACAAAATGGATTCAGGAAGATCTCGGTATGGCTGGTCGTCTGTCTGGCCGCGGGGCACCATCTCGCCCTTCGGCTCTGGCTTAGGGCACGACGGACAGCCGCCCGATGTGCAAGACGAAGATTTTAGCTACATCACCTCGGAGGACTTGCAGGACCAGTCGCGGTATTACAACGACAACCCGACAGCCAGCAGTACCCGCGTCGGACGCTCCGACCCGGCGCTTGAAATCCCGGATGATGACATCATCCTGATCAAGTTCAAGGACGTCTATTACCCCGAGCATTTCCCTGCGTACTCCATCGCAGATGGCAAGGTCCTGGCTATCGACATCCGCGAGCGCATCCAGCTCATCACGAAGCTCACTGATGAGCAGACGGACCGGCTGAGACTTTACTACAAGGGCAAGGAGCTCAGAGAAGACGAAATGCCCGCTGCCCGTTATGGAATCAAGAACAAGAGCGAGGTTCTAGCCATCCTCCCGGATGATGTCGAGGGCGGTGGGAGCAGCGAGTCCGGCGAGGAGATAATCGTCGTGGACGGCGACAAATCCAAGCCCAAGTCCAAGAGAAAGAGCGGGAAGAGGGGCGATAGGAGGAGCAAGACGAGCCCTCGCGGCAGCAACGCGAATCTGGGAATCCCTGACCCCATCGACCTCAGGCCGGGCTCGGCTAACAGGTCGCACTCTCCCGCGCCATCCAGGGCCCCGAGGACCCCGAGGACTCCATTGCCACCCAAGGAGTACACTTATCCCCCGGCCGCCCCTGGCAGCGCCATGGAGACACTGAACAAGATCGCCATGAACTTCAACGACAACCTCCGTCCGGTGGCCGACGAATTTATTTCGAACCCCCCGGCAGATGAGAAGAAGCGCAAAGAAGAGTATCTCAAGATCACCGAGACGATCCTGCGGAATGTCATCTTCAAGCTTGACGAGGTCGACACGGGCGGTGACGAGACTGTGAGGGCCAGGAGAAAGGAGCTGGTCATGGATGTGCAGGGGGTTCTGTCTGAGGCGGACCAGATGGTGCCCGAAGCTGACAGGACCGGTCGGTGAGCCTCGCCGCCATGACAAGCTAGCAGGCAGTTTTCATTTTTACGTCATACAAGCGGTGTTCCTTCTTCGCGCCACCCCGCTCTGTTTTGGTTTATTTGTATTAGGAGCCCAACTCTAGTGCAGGCTTGGTGTTTTTCGGCAGATACATCGTCAGCTCAGCCGACGGTTTTGTGACTAGACTTTCAACCCGGGCTTAGCTCTCTAGACTGGAATTTGTACGGCATCGTCATATTCATGTGTGCTGCAAGCAACTCCGTATGTGGTTTTGATGGGTTCATTGAAACGCTCAATCAGCACGAAGCAGCAAAAGTATACCCATGTTGTCGCGATGAGCCTCGATGGGCCGGGGTGGGATGGATGATCAGGGCTTGTTAGAGCAGCATCGTCCAACCAAATGGCTTCTTTGTTTGTGCAACAGTTCGCTTGCCCACCATCCGCTCCACGAGCCTGCGTTCCCCCCGGATTTATGTATCTACATGCAGATCCGTAAAGCCTTGGCGGGGATGCGAGTGTCTTGACCATCCCAGCCAGGTGACGGTCAATCTTCTGGGCTTCGGCCAGTGGCACGAGTGAGTGGCTGCTGCTGGATGGATGTGCAACCCCTCCACAGGTGGCCCTGAAGGTGGGCGCCACACCTAGGAGCAACACGGGGTCCGTGCCAAGCTACCAGCCACAGGACCCAAAGTGGTAATCACCTGACAAGGTCACTCTAGCCCTACTATGCCTCAGGCCCCGCCCGGTCCCGTCGCTTGCCCCATCCGATTTTTGGGTAGCCCTAGCACAGCACAGCCGGACAGGCGGGAGCGACTGTGATAATAATTTTGCCAGTGAGTGGACGAGCAGCCAGCGTCTAAACCAACAAACCGCAACGGTCAAGTATTTGGGAATCAGAATCGCAGACTTCGTCGCCGACACGAAGTTTGGTCTCTGATCTCACTCGACTTCTTATTTCTTTCCTTCCGGGCCACCAAACGTCGCCGCCATGTCGAGCTTCGAGCCGGTTGTGAGTTGATCCTCCCGCCCGCGGTGTCCTGCCCGCCATCTGGGACATGAAATTGCTTGGGGCCGCCCGTCGTGATGCCTGTGTCCTTTTTCTGCCTGGCTCTTCTGGCTTGCCGGCCTCTGGCACCCGATGCCACTCTCGGTCGATCATCTCCGACGCTTGGCTTTGATGTGCCGCGGGATCCTGCCCCGGGCACACATCCACCCTCCGCGACTTCAAATGCGACCCGAACTGCCCACCGAAAGACGCGCCCGACACACACATGCACACACGGCCAGCATGGCGGGCGGCGACAATGCACCATGGAACCGAGCTAGGCCGAGACCGAAAAGAGACACAGGAACATCGTGGACGGGCGGCACGGCATCGCATGTCCCGGGCGCGCATCCCACCCGCGACGGGTCGCTGACTTTTCTTTTTTCGTCTTCAGGTCGTCATCGATGGCAAGGGCCACCTGCTGGGCCGCCTGGCCAGCATCGTCGCCAAGCAGCTGCTCAGCGGTCAGAAGATCGTTGTTGTCCGCTGCGAGGCCCTGAACATCTCCGGCGAGTTCTTCCGCGCTAAGCGTACGTGTCAACCTTCCTCCGATATCTACCGCGCAGTACGGGATGGATCACCAGGGCTGTGTCTTCACTTGTGCCCTCACCACCAATTAGGGCAGCGGCGCTATTCTCGACCACTGCGAGGCAGAGACGATGATAGGGGAACTAAGTGAAACTGACATGTTGGCACTATACAGTCAAGTACCACGCCTACCTACGCAAGATGACCCGGTACAACCCGACACGAGGAGGTAAGGACACTCCGAAATTCATTCCGCCGACGCGGCCATCGCGACCGCTTGCTGGGATCCGACTTGGTCTGACTCTTGACACCTACCAGGTCCCTTCCACTTCCGCGCTCCCTCCCGTATTTTCTACAAGGCCGTCCGTGGCATGATCCCCCACAAGACCGCCCGTGGCGCTGCTGCCCTTGAGCGCCTCAAGGTCTTCGAGGGTGTTCCTCCCCCGTACGACAAGAAGAAGAAGATGGTCGTTCCTCAGGCCCTCCGTGTTCTCAGACTGCAGCCTGGCCGCAAGTACTGCACTGTCGGTCGGTTGAGCCACGAGGTTGGCTGGAAGTACCAGGATGTCGTTGCCAGGTATGTCAAGTTCCATCTTGGGAGTTCTTTGCGGAAGCAGTGCCAAACGATCCTGTGGCTCGGCCTCGCGCCTTGGCTGGGCTGTCGGGGCGCAGCTTTGCTCTCCCTTAGCTGCCTTTGCCCAAGCACAGCAATTCGAACAGTACGACTGACTCTGTTTCTAGGCTCGAGGAGCGGAGAAAAGCCAAGGGCGCCGCCTACTACGAGCGCAAGAAGCTTGCGCAGCGCCAGGTCTCCGAGTCCAAGAAGAACGCCACTGTCGACGAGAAGACGGCGGAGGCCCTCAAGGCCTACGGCTACTAAGCTGTGGCCTGTCCCGCTCGTTTCTTGTCGTTCTTTTTCGCGTTTCTATTTCTAGATTGGCGTGGTGGCTCACGGGAAATCAACACTTTTCATCTGCGACGGAAGGCATGGCTGGGGGAATGGCTTTTGTCTCTTTTTAAGTACCCCTCCAGGGGGCTGCATCACCCCCGGAACAAAGAAAAAAAAGAAAGAAAGCGGGCCCAATGGACATGAACTTACATGAAGGACGGAGACACGATTCTTCCGCAAAATCAAACGGGCGCGTCGTCATTCGGCTTGGGTCTTTCGAGGAGTTATCGGCATCGGATTGTTACCTGCCTGCCGGCCGATGGCGGCAGGTTTTGGTCCTGTTCATTGTACCTAGCTCTACCTGGGTGAACATATCACCTAGACAGACAACCACTCGAACAGGGTTTTTTAGTGACATTGCACTGGCGTTGGTAAATCTAGAGGGTGCGTTGTTTATACGGCTGTGTGACGGTTTCATTGTGTTGGGGACTTGTAGTATCGTCAAATCCGGCCCTCAGTCGAGGATCTCGGTCCTTCTTTCGCCTGAGAGCATGATGTATATGGTCTAACTTCCTATAGCAGCTGACAATATGTCCCGTATTGCGCCATCTAGGTCCGGATCAGTGCTTACAGACACGCCAGGTCATGGAGCGGATCGTAGTGGTATTGGCTGCTGTTGTCTACGGGTTGCTGAGCGATTGAGGAGGCTAGGCTCTGGGGGTCTGGTGTGTCTTGGCTACATTGCTACTTACCTGTGTCAAGGGGGCCATGCCTATCGGCAGCGCCAAGGGCTGAAGACGCCCGCTGTTGTCTCTTTCTGGGGGGCAGCTTCTACCAGGGACTGCCTCAGTTGTAGGCGACGGTCGACCGTTTTTAGGTCTCGGCACTGTCCGACGGGGAAGCTCACTCATCCCTCGCGCACCCTCTCGCCCGCTTTCTTTTTGTCTTTTTATTCCACTCCTCACCGAACCGATGTCCAGAGGACGCTATAGGTCATAGGCACATGTCTCGGGCACTTACGTACTCGACAGGGGGCTACTGCTGAGAAGGGGAGTCATTCCGGGATCAACATAGATATTGAGGATTTAGGTACGGTGACTGATGGAGAGATGAGCACTCTTGCCCATGCGCATTGTCACGGAGCACAGTCCTTGACTGGCTGAGACATGCAACATGTATTAGGATTTCGGATGGCAGCTCCATATCATCATTTGATCTTGGGGCAGACGATATGGAGACCTCGTTTGTGAAAATTCTCCTTGAACAAGTATAATGTGCACTGATGTGTACCGACCGATGGGTGGTGCGTTCAACCATGTGAGTGCACTACCAGGGTTTGTCCATCGATCCTTAAACGTCTTTTCTTTGACCTTCCTGGACGTGCAACATGTAACAGACGGGAATTAGGAAAACGCCCATGATGATCGGGCAGCACCAGGCCAGGGCCCGTGAGACGTCATCTTACATCGCTCGTCTGCCCTTGCCGGCGGGAGAAGCAAAAGACAAGTTGATGGCTATCTCGCAGAGAAGTTCCTTCTCAGGTGGCTGTGGGACTGACTGGGCAGTACCGGTCCCGCGGCCGCCCTTTCAAATTCACGGAACGTGAATGCCTCAACTATGGCTGTCAATATATGCGACGTGTGCAGTCCAGTTAGACAAGGATTCTCGGACGCAACCCCCAGGAGTTAATAATCGTTCATGTGATGCTGATCGGACGAGCAGCCCCCTCAGCTTTTAGAAACCGCTGACAGGATTGCGACTAATGGACTTACAGCAGCTCGGATAGTGATGCCTTGACACGCGCATGGAGTTCTGGGGGATCACCGCCTCGACCTGGCCATCTTCTATGGTAAGGTCCCCAGTTCGCCAACGCACTGCGCGACAGGGTCCCAGCAGCGCCCGATAGGAGCATCGAATGTGGCCGGCGAGTTAGCGAGGGGATGTCGCGGATAGGGATCTGCAATAGGGTCACCAATGACACATCCGACTTCCTATCCTGGGTATAAGAGGCTCTCGAGTGCTACACGGCTGGTTGACTTACAAGGATCATGCATGGAAATTGACTTTCCGCGGTGTTACCCTGAGATACACTAGCGGAGAGAGGGCCCCAATGATAGAGGCGGCCTCGTGTCATCCATACCACTTCTGTTCTGGGGACTTGGAGTGCTCTAGAACGATCCGCCTTGTCGATCTCTTACAGCGTGAGGACGCGTGACTGGGACCGGAGCCTAACGAACGACGGTTAAGGACGGGGTAGAATTCCGCCGGCTGCCCCAACAAGGGTCGCGATCGCCAAGCTGCTGATACTGGAGGTGGGCCGGCTTGGCTTCGTCCCCGAGTGCCGGCACCTTGCTGCTAATGTGATCTTGCTTGTCGCGGCATTGGCGTCAATAGGACATAGGGCTGCGTACTGGCGACGGCGTGTCGGATCTTGGCAAGGTGCAACGCGTTTTGTGTGCACTTGAGGCCTGGGCTACGTAGACACGCCGCTAGGTACACATCAAAAACTTCCCTTTCTCAGGTACTATGGCATGGCTGCGGCACCGGCACGCTCCGGGACAGCTACCAGCGAGTGCCATGTTAGCCTCACCGGTCTCGCGTTTGCCGATCCATCGCAACGCACATTGTATACAGCGTCGGATCCCGGGAGGTGCCCGTGACCACTCTTCGGGCAAGTTGCCGAGCGAGGAGCGCAGACAGGCTCCTGTGTGAGATTCAAAACGTGTACCGATGGGTCGTTACTTCTAAAGTTGCTGTGGTCATGTTGCTCCAATGCTGACTGCAGTGACAAGACGATCCAATGGCGCTCAATGTTCCACGACCTCACTGTGTGGGACGAAGAGATATCAACTAGCTGAACTAGGTGCTCGATTGACTTGACGGTGAGGGATATTGGAAATCCCGTTACGTTTTGTTCACAATATGTCTCCTTGCCGGCGTTGGTAAACTTGTGTGGAGGCTGTGCATTATCAAAGCGCTCGAAAGGCAATACACCTGTATCGATAGGTGAGAAATAGTATTGACTAGCATGTGTGCTTCGAGGATCACAAGGTAGGAGGGCAGTGATTCTGCTAAACTCTGTAAATATATTTTGGTGGTATTTTCTCAGGCAAGACATTGTGATAACGCCCCATATATTACTGTGTTGCAGGGCCTTGATGCGTCACATTCGAAAAAGAATAGAAAGGAGAACGCATCTTATGGGTAACTAAGGGAGGCATTGATCTGCGTTGAGTGTAGGGGGTGTCACATTAGGGCGATGCTAACTGGTGCGCTCGCAATGCTAATATATGCAGGAAAGCTGTGCCACTCGCGGACTTCATAGCTGAGCCGGTAATCGAGGCGGCAATGGAGCGGCTTAAGCTGTTGTCAGCAACCCAATGGCGCCCAACCCCACAATCAGAAGCGGGATCTGCTGCTACCAAGCTTTCTCGGATCTCGCACGGTTTCTCCGGGCTATAGAATGAAAGGAGTGGGGGGTGCAGTACTCAGCCAAGCTGGCATGTCGCCGCCTCCTCGCCAAGTTGCAACCTTACGCTGAGTGGTCACGAAAAGAGGCGGGCCGATCACCCCGGGCCCGGGGGCGATGCTGTATCAAATGAGTAAGACGAGAGACCTGCAGGCCCGCTACGCGCCGTCATGGCTCTCGATATGTGCAAGCTGTGCCATTGGTAGAGATGATTATACGAGGCATCGGCGTCAAGTTGACTGACCGCCGACCCCACAGCCTTACGCGGGAGATGTATCGTCTTGTTGCATATGGAGGGGGCATACAGAGCGTCAGTGGGCGTGGGAGGCAGCAAAAGGGGGTTTATGCGATGCTTGGAGGCAAGGAGAGAGGTCGTATGAGCCTCGGATGAGATAGCTAGAGGACGGCAACATGCTGACAGAAAAAGTATAAAAGGAACTGCCCCTTCTCGAACTTGCCAGCTTTTCTCCAGAGATCACCAGCAGCTCCTCAGCATCCCCAAGCACACCATCAACAGGAACCAGACTCAAAGCACAAGAGCCCATCACCCGTAGCACCTCTAGTCACCATGAAGTTCTTCGCCACCGCCGCCGTCCTCGTCTCGGCCATCACGGCCGTGAACGCCTTCTGCTGCGGCGCCAGCATCGGCCGCCAGTGCGCCGACGGCACGAAGGGCACGCCCTGCTGCGCGACGCAGTCGTGCAACATCTTTTGCTGTGCCTGCGGCGGTCGTATGTCTCCCCCTCCTCGTTTCCCTTCCTTTTTTTTTTTTTACTCGAGCCGTCTCGCCCTTGAGGAGAAGAACCAGAGGATGATGGCCTTGCTCCCCAGTGCTTCATGAACCGTCTTTTGACAGAGCCGTGTAAAAAAACCCAGGCTGCCGCGGCTCGAGCAAGCGCTCGCTCCCGGACGCCTTCAGGCGCGACGCGGACGCCGCCTTCTCCCTGGCCGACACGGCTGGCGAGGGCAAGATCGCGCTGCCGCAGTACTTGTCGTACATGAAAGTCGACGCCGAGAACACCGAGACCTCGCAGGTCTGGAAGGAGTGGTTCGCCAAGTATGTCATTTCTCCATCCAAACTCTACAGACTAGCTACTTCCGGGGATCCCACTGCTCCCCTCAAGCCTGTTGAGACTGGCTCTCCTGCTACGCTGGCTGCTACGCATGACAGGCTAACGTGCGCGTAATCAACAACAGGCACGACAAGAACAACGACGGCTTCATCACCGCCGATGAGGTCAGCTCCGACTAAACGCCCATCCTCGCTAAGCCTACAGTGCCCGAGCGTGAGGTGAGTGTGATGGGGAGGAACTGGCTTGACTTCTGCCCAAACAGCGGGAGGGTCAGGAAGACGCATGAGTCCCAATACTGTTTGGCCACACTCTTTAACATACCCTCGCTGGCGTGGGAGCGAGACTTGGAACGCAGGAAGCGGCGATGTAGCCGGCCGTAACGCCATCCAGCCGACCGCCTTAACGCTGTCGGCGCGCTCGTATATAGCAGTATATACGAAAGATGCTTTCTGCAAACATATACGTGTCTCTAATGGGGAGGAGGTGGCTGAGATCTGTTGTCTTCTAGGAAAAAGGAGATGGATGAGGTTATGAGAAGGCAGATGTCGTGACACAGCGTAGGCTTCGGTAGCCAGTAGCCTGGTCTGGGAGTTTTTCAGCCGTCTCAGACCTTGAGGTCTAGTTTGGGGTAATGCATAAGCACCATAGGGCAACGGCAAAGGGTATAGGTCAGAAAAGTCGGACAGCCACAGGAGGGTGACTGCGGAGTGCACCAACGTGCTTACAGGTGAATGGCCAGGAATATACCCAGCGATCGTGCAACAGGCAAGGACTGGTCCGTCGAACAGGTCACTCTGGCAAGCACCGTATCCTGGGAGCGTTTGGCTAAGGTAAAAAGCAAGCCTTGAACAAAGCCAAGTCTGACTGGTACTTGAGCAGCTAAAAACGGCTATATCTCTCACTTCACGACTCTGGCCCTGGGCGTCCATCTAACCACTTGCTCATGTAGGGCCCATCCAGCCAGTAGCCCAGCTTCTTGTAGTAGCTGCGGACGCCGACGCCCGAGATGACGCTGATCTTGACGCTCCCGTGCTCGTCGCGGGCGATGCGCTCCGCCTCCTCCATGAGGAGCGTCCCGAAGCCCTGGTGCTGGAACTTCTTTGGATCGCGTGCGTGCACGGGCACGGCGGTGCCGTAAACGTGCAGCTCGCGCACGAGACTGGTCTGTTGGCCGACCAGCTCCTCGCGGAACGTGTACTTCTCGGTGCACCTGCGCAGCCGGAGCAGACCGACCAGGATGTCTTGCTTGGGGTCCTCATAGGCCAGGAATGTCTCCCAGCCGCCGTTGGCCGTGTAGTCACGACGCACCAGCTCGACCTGGTTGGGGCGGATCTTGTGCTTGACCTCGTTGATGCCGACTTCTCGCGTGCGCACGTCGCGGCACGTTGTGCCAAAGTCCTTCATGCGCGCCAGTGCCAGCTCGCGCAGGTTGCCGTTCTCGACGCCCGACGTCACGAGCGGCATGGGGATGTCGCGCTGGACGCGGTAGATGCGAGTCCATGGCGGCACGAGCGCCAGGATGCGCGCCACCAGGTCGATGAGCCCGTTGGGCGTGTAGTTCTGGTACCGCCCCGTCCGCCAGAGCTCGTAGAGGCCCGTGCCGCGGATGACGAGGGTTGGGTAGATCTTGAGGCCGTCTGTGCGGAAGGCCGGGTTCTCGAAATACTCGCGGAACTGGTCGACGTCGCGCTCCATGCCGACGTTTGGCAGGTCCGGCATCATGTGGCTCACCACCTTGAAGCCGGCGTCCTTGGCCAGGCAGAAGGTCTCTGCCACGGCGGCTACTGTATGACCGCGGTTCGTGTCGCGAGCCACATCCTCGTACAGTGACTGCACGCCGACCTCAAGACGCGTGCACCCATAGCGTAGCATGCTGGAAAGGTGAGGCTGGAGGCAATAGTCTGGGCGGGTTTCAATGGTAATACCCACGCACTTGACGTTGCTCATCTCGCCGGCCTCGACGGCCTCATCGACGTTGGAGGTCTGATAGCCACTCAGGGCGTTGTGTAGCTGCGAGATGAAGTCGTCACGGTACGACTCAGGGAGCGACATGAAGGTGCCGCCCATGATGATATATTCGACCTTGTCGACCGAGTGACCTAGCGCCTTGAGCTGGTCGACACGGCCCCGCGCCTGCTCGAAGGGGTCGTAGCGCGCGCGGATGGCCCGCATCGACGTCGGCTCATACCCAGTGTATGACTGCGTACTGTACTCGAAGTCGGAGTCGGGTCCGCCAGGGCAATAGACACATATGTTACCAGTATATGCGATGTGGGGGCACCGGTGCGGCTTGCACATGACAGCAACCACGGCGATGCCAGAAGACGTTCCTGGAAGCGTGGTGTCAGAAATAGGGGCTTGCCTGGCCGGGCTTGGGTCGAAACAACGCACTTATAGGCTTAGCTACCAGCTTTGGTAGAATGTACTTCTTGTAGTGCTCTGGAACAGCGGCGATGATGGCCGTCAGGGGTGGTATCCTCTTCAGCTTGTGTCTCCTTGAGAACTTGGACCGAAGGCTGTTCAGGTTCACGTCTTTTGCGCGCCGACTGGGGTCTTTGGCCGAGGCCTCGTAGTCCTCTATCAGCGCATTCGCGACATCTGCGCAGCAGCGCAGGAACCGCTCGCCCTCAGGGGCCAAAGTTGCATCCTTCTTCACAGTCGCCGCTGGCCGTGTTATCGTCATAGTGGGTGGGGTTGCAGATGTGAGATCAGCTTCTGAGACTGATAACTGGGTCTGGGTTGATGCTAGATTTCGAAAATTTCGCCCAGACAAACGCTCCTGAATAGGCACCTAGGTATCCAGCGGTGTCCTATACGCTGCGCTTCCAGAGTCCTAAAAAGGGGGTGGTTCAGTTCCTCAGCGCATGGAGAATCTCAAAGCTTGGGTCAGAACCATGGCAATTCGGAGTTGCCCATTCAAGACCCCCACCAACAAAAGACGATAAAAATCTATGTGGGGCTCTTCGTCCACGTGGGGCACTGAGTTCAGATGCTGTCGCTCCGTCCAATCAGAGGCCCGGAATGGCCAGCCTGACGCCCAGTCGCTGCGGGAGAAGTCGGGTGTGGCTTTGCTGCGCCAGAACCAATGCCAGTGCGGCAATTAGGGGCAGGCACCTTGCGCATGTGCCAAATAATACCTCGAGAAATTTGAAGCTTCGAGCTGCTGTGGCTACGACAATCTTCGTGTGACGCAACCGACCTCCCATACTAGACTTCGCGACAATCCCACAGGCTTGGGCCAGCACACGAAACCACGTTTGCTGGGAATCTTTTCACTTCTTGTTTTTCGCTTGCATACCCTCCATACCCCGATACCTCCGGTTCAAGATGCAGGCCTTCTCGAGACAGCTTCGCCTGGGCAGCTCCCTGCGCAGCGCCGCCAGGAGGACATACAGCAGCTCCTCGTCCCCCTACGCGGCCACCATCAACAACCTGCGCATCAACGGCGAGACCAAGGTCATCTTCCAGGGCTTCACCGGCAAGCAGGGAACGTGAGTACATGGCAGGGACCGCGGCTGGGTCTGCGACTTTGTGCCAGCTCGCCTGAAATCAGCAGGCTTGCTGGCGCGCACCACGAGACGCCGGACGGGGAACACAACGCTAAGACTCGGCGATACAGCTTCCATGCCCAACAAGCTATCGACTACGGTATTGCGACTCCCGCCTCCCAACACGCCCCGAGGCGCACACCCCATACGTCCGCGATCTGACAGTCCCTCTCTTGAATCGTAGGCACCAAGGTTGTTGGTGGTACCAACCCCAAGAAGGCCGGTTCGACCCATCTCGACCTCCCCGTCTTTGGCAAGGTTGCCGATGCCGTGAAGGAGACCGGCGCCAATGCCACCGCCATCTTCGTCCCGTAAGACCAGCTCTGCCGAGAACGTACATGCTCTGGCCAACAAGGTGTTTGGTCCGACACCCCCACTGACATGTCCGTTTTATAGTCCTCCTCTGGCCGCCGCTGGTATTGAGGAGGCCGTCGCCGCCGAGATTCCCCTGGTCGTCTGCATTACTGAGGGTATCCCTCAGCACGGTGAGTCGGCACAGACACAGCTCCCACGGCAAGGCTCGCTCACATGTTGACGACGTCTGCTCCCCGACAGACATGGTCCGCATCACCCAGATCCTCAAGTCGCAGTCTAAGACCCGCCTGGTCGGCCCCAACTGCCCCGGCATCATCGCGCCCGGCCAGTGCAAGATCGGTATCATGCCCGGCTTCATCCACAAGCGCGGCCGCATCGGCATCGTCAGCCGCTCCGGCACGCTGACGTACGAGGCCGTCAACCAGACGACCCAGGCCGGCCTCGGCCAGTCGCTCGTCGTCGGCATCGGCGGCGACCCCTTCAGCGGCACCAACTTCATCGACTGCCTCCAGGTCTTCCTGAACGACGCCGAGACGGACGGCATCATCATGATCGGCGAGATCGGCGGCTCGGCCGAGGAGGACGCGGCCGACTTCCTGCGCGCCAACAACACCAAGAACGGCGGCAAGCCCGTCGTCTCCTTCATCGCCGGCATCTCGGCTCCCCCCGGCCGCCGCATGGGCCACGCCGGCGCTATCGTCTCGGGCGGCAAGGGCGGCGCCGACTCCAAGATCAAGGCCCTCGAGGCCGCCGGCGTCATCGTCGAGCCCTCGCCCGCCGGCCTGGGCAAGGCGCTGCGCGAGGAGTTTGTCAGGCGCGACCTGTTGTAGGGCGTTTGCTGTTATGGTTGCTGAGCAAGCATGGCGGCGGCAGAGATAGGAGGCGGCGGAGCGGTTTCTGGTTTTCCCTTTTGGCAAACGGCGCATAAAGCTGTGGGTAATGGATTTCCATTTTTCGTCTGTTGACGCTACGGGAGATAACTACAACTTAGAACGGTCTGGATCCGGCAACCGAGGGGAGTGCATATATAAAAGCGAAGCACGTTATTCGAACCTGATCTGGCCGGACCACCAATATTCATCATGGGCCATTTTTGTGACAGCTACAGCGGGTGGAGGATGTCAACCTGCAGTGAAGGAACCTGCAGTGAAGAACGCGACTGAATGTGATGCTTGCGGCGCTCAATTAGGATCAGTGTTGTAAACTAGAGTGGTAAGGCCAGGCAAGGAGAAAACCAATAGATTATAACCAAACGCAAACGGGCTATCCGAAAAACTCCGAATTTGTATGCCGAAACACCCCTTGTCATCTCCATGCAGTGCGGAACTGGAACCCCGCTGGTGTCACCATCGCACACTATTCACGCCGACCGACTTGCCCAAGTACTTTTCCTATTCCATGCTTAGGAACCATGAGGACTGGTAAATATGATGCGTTGCCCGCGTTTTATCATCTCGGCATGTCCGCTGCGCCCTCTAGATTACTGCTCGCCAAGGAGCCGGGCGGTAATATCGCCCATGTAGGCCTCTTCGAGTTCGTAGTCCTCACCACCGTTCCGGTCGATCCCCACGTAGACGAAAGCCTCGACAACCTTCTCGAGCTCGAATCCCATGTTGACAAAGCGGTTGATGAGCTCTCTGTTGTACCCTTGATACCTGATGACGTGAGATTGTATTTGCAGGTTAGTTCTGCGCTGCCGGACGCCAAACACGACCCATTTGGGCGGTTGTCACATGCACGGGGGCACGGAGCGGTTTGGACATACTTGAGAGGGTCGTCGGGCTGCTTGAATTGCTTGAGGGCTTTCCTCTGGTGCTGCTCAGGTGGGGGTTGTGTACGAGGAGCTCCGGCAAACTTGACGGCCCAGTCGTGCGCGACAAGCTTGAAGTACTCGGGATCCTCCATCAACATCTTGGCAACCTCGGCGTCTTGCGGGTCCTTGGGGTTGGGAGACTCGAGCAACATGCGCAGCGACAGAAGGGCCATCTTGATCGTGCCGACAGGCGACCAGCCGCTACCTAGCGTGTCAAGGCAGATCGCGCCCTAGGACGGCAATATTAGCTAACCAGCGCGCACCATCTTGGGTGCTGAGGACCGGCCAACTCACCGTCTGGCTGCTGATGTTTGGGTGCCAGATTTTCGTATCGAACTTCATGATGGGGGACTTGAAGGGGTACGTGTCCGGAATCACAATATCCACAGTGTAAGTGCCCCCGGTATATGGCGTGTCCGGGGGTGCGGGGAAGGTGCCCTTGAGATGTGTGATCTCCTGCTCGTTGATGGGTACAACCATAATCTGCGACTTTTCGGCGTCGGCCTGGATGTCCTGCAGCTCCTTGGCAATCCGCCGCAGACGCGAGGAACTCATGACTGCGGCGGGTGTTTTGACCTGGCTGGCAGAGAGCTCGTTTCTTCAAGCGGCAGCAAACGCCTGCCAAGGGTCGGTTTCGGGTCCCGACCGGCCGGAGTAGCAGCAGTAGTGTGACCTCGAGCCTCGTGAAAGGCGGACGCCTCGAGATCGCAGAGCTGTAGCTACCGGAGGGCAGCGGAGGGCTCCCCTGACTACCTCGATGCTGGGCTACAGGCGGCCCAACCGAGGGTTATATCGTAGGGGGAGGGATATCGGGAGCGAGCGTCGGACACCGGGTTACTGAGGCGGGACACAGTCGGGTGCTCAAAGGAGACTTCGAGGAGTGGTGTCACCTTGTCGGGTCTTGAGAAGAGCACAGGGTGGGCGGCGGGGAGGCTCTTTGCAGAAAGCGCGGCAGTGTGTCGCGGCTATGGCCTGTTTGGTCGGGCGTTCCCAGGCAAACTTGTCAGATTGACGGCTAGGGGCACTGGCGTCGTGGGCTAAGGTGCAAGGCGGGTCGGGCGAAGAAGTGGTAGCCTCTGGCTTTCCTGTCGACCTACCCACCTATCAGACCAGACGTCAGCTGTTGGCGGAACCGTTCGTGCCGGGTTGAGTGCCGAGCTCGGGTGGAGATGGCGAGAGCACGAGTATTAAGGGCCGCCGAGAGAGTCGGGTCAGTCGTCTGGCGCTGTCTAGCTCTCGAGTTGCAAGTGCAAGGTAGCGATAGGTTACGATGGGGATCGAGTGAAGCTTGTGTGATGTTTAAGCAGCAGGAGGTCTTCCGAAGGCAGGCAGGAGCAAGTGTTTAGGACGGCGTTTGCAGCGCTTTCCTTTGTTCGTCAGGTGTGCTGACCGGAGGCTCCCCCTCCACTCTGGGGAGTTAGTATCGCGGCTATTAGAGGGGTCGCAATGCACTGTGACGCTGCAACGCCTGCCCGCCCGAAACGCCCGCGTGGGGCTTCTACTGAATTCCATCCACAGCGCGGCCCGCGGCTGTCTGCTTGTCAGCCACAATTATCCCACGTAGTTGAGCCCCAGTCAGAAGCCGCCACAGACATGGACCGTGCGCGAGCTGTCGCGTTTTCGTTGTCGCCTGGCCGCCTTCCTAGCCCAGCTGGCTTTCCTTGCAGCAATCCCCGAGCGAGCCCGCGGTTCCTCCCCAAACGCCAGCACCAAGCACCAGCACCGATCGCTTGTGCGGAGACTCACCTTTGATCGACGAGCATCTTCAACTCCTGCGGCCTGGTCGCCAGCGTCTTGGACTAGCAATACTTAGTAGACCGCCCGCGGCCAACCCCCGCTCCTTGGGCCGTCATTCACGATGGTGAGTCTGCCATGTTGATGGAACCAACCTTGCGAGTCGACACTGGGCTCTGAACTAACATGTTCTGCTGTATAGGGACAAAATCAGTCGGGGATGAGCGGAGGCCAAGGTGATGGCAAGGATGACAAGGATAAGAAGGTACGACATGTGCTGGCATACACTCGCAACATCACATGCGCTTCAGATTCCTTCGTGGTCCCTACAGCCCTCGTGATATAGCTCCATCCTTCATTGCCCTAGCCCGTCATTGCATTGGCATTTTTCCATTGCTGACGACTCTCTCGGCTGCCCACAGAAGGAGAAGCCCAAGTACGAGCCCCCGCCGCGGCCGACGACACGCATCGGTCGCAAGAAGAGAAAGGGAGGCGGCACTAGCGCCGCTGCTAAGCTCCCGACCGTCTTCCCAACCAGCCGGTGCAAGCTGAGGCTCCTGCGGATGCAACGCACACACGACCACCTGCTTTTGGAGGAGGAATACGTCGAGAACCAGGAGCGCCTGCGCAGGGCCAAGGCAGCCAAGGACAGCAATGCGGCGCCGAGCTCGGACGTGGACGCCGGGGACAGGATGGCTGACGAGCGTGGTCGGGTCGACGACATGCGCGGCAGCCCCATGGGCGTGGGTACGCTCGAGGAGATGATTGATGACGACCATGCCATTGTTTCGAGCACCACCGGGCCCGAGTACTACGTCAGCATCATGAGCTTCGTCGACAAAGACCTGCTGGAGCCCGGTGCAAGCGTGCTCCTGCACCACAAGAGTGTCAGCATTGTTGGTGTCTTGACCGACGATGCCGACCCTCTGGTCAGCGTCATGAAGCTGGACAAGGCGCCGACAGAGTCGTACGCCGATATTGGTGGTTTGGAGCAGCAGATCCAGGAAGTGCGCGAGTCTGTCGAGCTGCCGCTCCTCCACCCAGAGCTCTACGAGGAGATGGGAATCAAGCCCCCCAAGGGTGTCATTCTCTACGGAGCGCCAGGCACGGGAAAGACACTGCTCGCCAAGGCTGTGGCAAACCAGACTTCGGCAACTTTCCTGCGCATTGTGGGCAGTGAACTGATCCAGAAGTATCTCGGTGACGGCCCTCGGCTGGTGCGCCAGCTCTTCCAGGTAAGCCAGCACAACCTCAGTGGGCCCACACTCTCTTGTTGTCCAAACCCCGTTGCTAATATCAGCCTCCCAGGTTGCTGCGGAAAACGCGCCGTCGATCGTGTTCATCGACGAAATCGACGCAATCGGTACGAAGCGATACGACTCTACCTCGGGCGGTGAACGTGAGGTTCAGCGGACCATGCTGGAGCTCCTCAACCAACTCGATGGCTTTGACGACCGCGGTGACGTCAAGGTGATCATGGCGACCAACAAGATCGAGACGCTCGACCCGGCGCTGATCCGGCCTGGCCGTATCGACCGCAAGATTCTGTTTGAGAACCCGGATCAAAACACCAAGCGCAAGATCTTTACGCTGCACACGTCGAAAATGTCGCTGAACGAGGATGTGGACCTGGAGGAGTTCATCGCGCAGAAGGACGACCTCTCGGGCGCCGACATCAAGGCGATCTGCTCCGAGGCCGGCCTTATGGCGCTGCGTGAGCGGAGAATGCGTGTCCAGATGGCCGACTTCCGCGCCGCCCGCGAGAGGGTGTTGCGGACGAAGCAGGAGGGCGAGCCCGAAGGACTGTATCTGTAATGTATCATTACACCTTTTACACAAACCCTGCGACTGCCAGCTGCTTTTCGGGGGTAGGGTTAGAGAAGCGATACATAGACAAATCCCGGGATGAGCTTGTTTCTCTGGAAGTTTCTCGGGACATGTTCCCCTGATTATCTGATGCGCGATGTCTTTGAAATAGCGAGGTCCTTTGGGGGTTGGCTTCCTTTATGATTTGCACATTCGTGAAAATGGACAGGAGTCAGCACACTTAACTACTTTGCCCTAGCACCTCAGTATGTGGCAGCAGTATCAGGGGGGGGGGGGGGGGGGGTTTTTTACTTTGCATGTTCAATCTGCAGATCCTCCTTGTCAATGCCGCCCCCGGCGAACTTGGAACATTGAATATCAGTGTTCCGAGTCTTGTTCATGACAGAATCCCCGAACGCTACTCGACACGCAGCCTAACAACAGCAGCGGCATGGGTGCCTGACCGTGCTCAGCCGCTGGGTTATTGTGTGGTGTGGTAATAAAAGAGGAAAGAGAGGTACTAGTCGACCGTCACTCAGGGTTGCAATCAAAATGCAGGTCCACGGTGTTAGCACCTTGGCTCCTGCAATTTCACCCGCACAGCTGCCTAACCTTTTAGTAGGTGCCGTCCAATCACGAAGCCTGCTTCGTACGTCGGATTCGATCAGGCGACCAATAGCGCCCGAGAATCTCTAGCCGAGCCCTAGCGACACCCCCTCGCGATTTCCTGGCGGAGGAGGGCTTCTGCGCGTGTGATTTCGGCGAGAATGCTGGCTGGAGCTCATTTCCCCTGAATTCTAAGAGGGCCGGTGTCCCGACTGGTGCGTACAACGGCGCGTCCTGGGATGGCTGGATGGCGTCTGACCAGGGGAGGGCTTGGACCATGACGATCGGTGGCACGTTCTGCTTGGGCCGGGATATGGGGTGGAATGTGGGGGAGGAAGGTTCGTTGGCCCCAAGGCCTGGCATGGGGTGTTGGTTGGATGCGTTTTTACGACGCACTCTGAGCGTCCGGCAAGGGCACCCCCTCCTGGGGGCCGGATGTGGGTGGACCACCACGATCCTTGGACGGGCTGCTGCCAACCACCACGAGGGAGAGGGCATGCAGAAGGGAGGTGCATAAGATACGGCCAAGATCCATTGGTGCCCTCCATCCCAAAAGGTGTGCTTCCGACCTCGAGCTCCTCCGTCCCGAGCCGTGGTCTCGAAGTTCTGGTCCGCTGCCACTCCCTTCTTTTACAGTGACACGGACATTGCCTTCTCTGAGATCCTCTCACTCGTTTAGTTCGGCCAGCAGAAGGAGGAAGAGAGAAAAATGACAGGTCTTCAGCATCCCCTGCGGGCCGCCGCCCGCCTTGCTGCCATTGCATTCGTTGCGACACTATCCTTGTCCCCTGCCGCCGTCCACGCTCAGTCGGACGACCTGGCCGCCGTCCTGTCCAAGCAGCAGAACGTGTCGACTTACACCAGCCTCTTGAGCAAATACCCCAAGGCGTTTGAGAACCTCCCGAGCTCCGGCGCGACAGTTAGTGTTTTCCCGCTCCCTGTTTGGAGATATGTCCCATCATCTACGCCTTCGTGCTGATACATGACCTTTTTTTTTCACCGCTTCTGCAGATCCTCGTCCCTACCGATGCCGCCTTTGTCAAGTTCCAGTCGTGGGACCGTGGCGACGGCGCGTACGCGGAGCAGCTGCTCCGCTACCACATGCTACAGGGCAAGGTGTCCATCGGCAGCATCGAGGAGGGCAGCTCCGTGTTCGCGCAGACGATGCTCAGCGACGCCAGGTACAGCAACGTGTCGGGCGGCGCCGAGATGATCATCAACCGGCAGCGCGGCGGCACCGTCTTCATCTCGGGCCTGGCCACGCGGGCCACGCTGGTGGGCAGCCCGGACATGCCCTTTGGTAGTGGGAAGAGCGCCGTGCAGCTGATCGACTCGGTGCTGGCCATGCCGGCGCGGTTCGAGACGACGGCGCGCGGCTCCTTCAACGGCGACATGGACTCGTTCCTTGGCGCCCTGTACGCGGCCGGCGTGCTCGCCGACTTTGCCGACGGCGCCAACCTGACCGTCCTCGCGCCCCGCAACGCGGCCATGGCCCGCGTGGGCGCCGCCCTGCAGGCCATGCCGCGCGACCAGCTGGCCCGCGTGATGCGTCACCACCTCGTGCCGGGGCGCGTGCTGCACGGCGCCGAGCTGCGCAACGGGACCGAGATCTCGCCCGCCACCGCCGGCGCGGGCGGCCACCCCCTGCGCGTCACGCTGCACAACAACGACATCTTCATCGGCGCCGCAAAGGTGGCGTCGACAAACTTCCTCGTCGCGAACGGCGTCGTGCACCTGCTCGACGACGTCCTCAACCCGGACGCCGACGCCGCCGCCGCCCCCGTCAACGTCACGGCCGAGACGCGCCCGCCCCCGTTCAGCGCAACGGGCGGCGGTGCCGACGCCCAGCCCGCCGCGCCTACGGGTGGCGCCGGCGCGTCGCTGCCTTTTATAACCGCGCTGCCGTGTGTCACCGGCTGCCCGACCGCGGGGGGCGGCGGCGGTGGCGGCGGCGGCGGCGCGGGGGGCAACGGCGTCAGGACCAGCTCCAGCTCTGGGGGCGTCGGGCGTGTCTTTATGCCGAGGCCTACCGGCGTGGCTGGCGTCGGCGTCGGCGTGGGTGTTGGTCTCGCAGTTGGCCTGGCCGGCATGGAGGTCGTGGGTGCGATGCTGTGATCGGGGTCGAGCATCTCCCGGGCCAGGCTTTGCTTTGCTCTCTTTGCAGTCATCCGCTTGATATCCGAGCTCAGGATATTCTACGCATGCCTACACATGTGTAAATATCTAGGCAATTGCTGATGCAAGGGAAGAATAGATAGATACCCAGAAACGTTATTTTGTCGGCAGTGCATCCCTCACCTGCATATCTGCCCGTGCGCCTAACAGTCTCGTCGTGGTCGAGTGGATGATGGAAGGATTACCAGCCACACACTCAAGCCCGACCGCCCTCTATCAAAATGACATCTTTGTAACTTAAGCCTGCTCCTTACGCTCCTACAACTGTCGCCTCGAGTGCCGTGACGGCCCTACCTTCCCCAAGAGGGAACGTATCAGCGTGTGCATGGACTGACAACACAAAGCGACTTCGACGTGATGACTTTTCCTTTTCTTCTTCGGCACATTCTATTTTAATCCACACCCAGATCGGGAGAAGTCTCCCTCCAAATTCCGGCTGTATTATTCTCGTGTTCCTTGGATCTAGCATCGAAGCGATACTTTCGCATGCCCTTTCGGCAGCTTCTCCCGGCCTCGTCCCCATCCCAAGCGAGCCGAGCTCGATAAACTTGGCAGACTCCCATGTATTCGGTCGCCTTTACTGCAATGTCTCGGAGGGGGAATCGCTACACCGATTTCCAGCTATTTTTACTTCCACCAAACGTTGATCGTGCCCACACCTGCTCGTGCGGCTGAAGGCGTGCTTCCCCTCCTCTGGCGCAGGTTGTAAGCCGTTCTCCCTGCGGCTGGCCGTGGGGCGGCGAATCATGGGCTTCGCTGCGCCTCCATCATGCGGCTATCGTTGCCAATAGGCTGATGGCTATAGCACCCGAACGGCTACATTTGGCAAGACGCTCCTCTGCGCTGGATCCTTCCCGTCGGGGGCCACAAGAGATGTGGACTCGGTTGCGTAGAGCTCTTTGCACACCGTCTAGGATATCTTGCTTCTTGGGTGGGTTCTTCGGGAGATGATGGCGTGCGACATATGTAAAGGACGTCGGCCAGAATCCCATTGCCCATGGAATCGCCGTACTCTGGAGCATCATCGCTACAGGAACACAAACGAAGAACCCTCTCTTTTGCCGTGTCTAAGCCTGCAACTATCTCCGTGGAATAGCCCCCTTTCACCATGAAGACGACCGTGCTTGTCATCTCGGCCCTGAGCGCCCTGACGGGGACTTATGCGGCCGTCAACGAGCCTTGCTACAGCACCGGAGGCCGCGCAGGTGAGCAGAGCCCTCGCACCACCGCCGACGCGGCCCTAACCACTCACAAACCCTCCCCCTCCCTCCCTCCACAGGCGTCTGCGTGTCGACCTCGGCCTGCAGCAGCGCGGGCGGCACCACCATCAACGGCACCTGCCCCGCCGACCCCGCCGACATCAAGTGCTGCAGCAAGCCGTCCTGCGGCTCGTCGTCGGCCGGCAACTGCCGCTGGGCCTCGGACTGCGCCGGCTCGACGGCGTCCAACCTGTGCCCGGGCCCTTCGGACTTCAAGTGCTGCTCGTCCGCGGCCCAGGGCTGGGGTGGCTACGGGAACCCCGGGTTCCCGTCGACGTCGAGCGGCTGCACGGCCACCGCCATCAGCGGCGCCATGGAGATCGTCGCGGCCTGGCCCGGCCGCGTGCGCGAGATCGGCTGCATCAGGGGCTGCGCCTGCGGCTCTGGCAGCGACCACTGCTGCGGCAAGGCGACCGACATGATGTGCTCCGACGCGGGCGGCGTAAGTGCAGCGGACTACCTGGAGGGGGCTGAGATGTGCGCGCCTCCTTGCTAAACTGACTGACATGTTCCCTCCCCGGTACAGACCGCCACACTCTCCGGCCGCGAGATCGCCGAGTGGGTGATGAAGAATCGAGCGACTCTCAACCTCAAGTACGTCATCTGGGGCCAGAAGATCTGGGAAACGAGCCAGGACAGCGTCAAGTCGTGGGCCAGCTGGAGGACCATGGATGACCGGGGAGACGTCACGGCGAACCACTGGTAGGTAGTACTCACATGACATATACATATCTAGATTAACTCGGTGCTGACTAGCCACTGTCCAGGGACCACGTCCACGTTAGCTACAACTAGCGGGCGGGCGGCAGCGCGGCGCATCGTAGCGCAGCCTTGTCGGTGGGCTGCTCGAGTGACACAGCCGCGCGTGGTGGAGACTCAGATCCTATTCAGAGCGCGGCAGTTCGTTGATTTTCTGCCGGCGGGGTTCGCCGCGTAGGGATTCAAGGCTGCTCGAAGCGCTTGTCGCTTGGATTTATGAACAGCTCTCTTGCTGGCTTCCCATGCCTTTGGGCCTTGTGTGGTGTGGTAGAATCTAGCATCTCTCTGACAGGAGCCTTTTCCTCACCGGCAACATTAAATTAACTTCCGAGTTCCTCCTACCACTGAGAAAAAAGTAGTAAATAACACGGAGCCTTTCGGGGATCGTAATAGGCTGAATCTGCCATGTTCTCGGAACGAGCCTCACCTTAAGTGAATTGAACAACGAAGTAAGCTACGTGGGAACTCATGGGTTGACGGCCCTGCGTGACACCGCGGAGTGACAACACGTATCTCTCGTGAGTATTTCATGAAACGATCAAAGGTATCGATCCATGTCACCTGCTAGTAAAGGTTCAGGGTTAGAATTCATGTGGGCATGGATATTTACACAAAGGTACTTCGAGTTAAGGCAGCTGGTATAAAACTAATAACTTGGGAGGAGAGAGGGTTCACATCTTTTCGTGGCGTCTCTGTCAGACGCCAGGACCAGCGCTTCCCACAGACTCGATCGTTGAGAGTTTTGAGGAGTCCTTTAGGGCAAACTGTAGGAAAGATGGCTGTCGCGTTGCTGGTTCCGATGGGCACGGCCTGTGGTGTTGATAGCCTTCTCAATTTAGGGTAATGTTCAGCCTGAAGAACGGAGATATACTGACCGGTTAGTCGCGAGCCGAGATACCGACACTCTCTTGGGGGCCTCTATGGAGACACTGGTGTTCATCCAGTACGGTCTATCAGGCAGCCATCTTTTCGAAATACGACTGCGAAGCATGTCCAACCGGCTAACGTTGGGATCCTTTGTCGTAAGTTATTTCGGTTTAATTTGTTGGCCGTTGTTTGTCACCTCAGCCGCACGGTGACAGAAAAAGAATTTCTGCGAAGGAGATAAATGGAATTAATACGAGAAAGCAGACTTTGCAATGATTTGGCGGCGGGCGAGTTGCATAGGACAAAGCGAACCGACCGTTGAGCCGGGAATTTAGATATTAATAATTATGTTACCATTTCACAACCCTGCCATCCTCCAGCACACTGGTGCTTACGGCGGCGGCCCCTTCTTGGCCGTCCCAGACGTTGTCCCATTGGGACTCTGCGCCAACATGGCCCTCCTCTCCCTGCTTCGCCGCCTGCCCCTCCTCCGCGCTCTCCTCCGCGCTCGTATCCTCCTCCCAGAGGCTCCAGCCGTCAACATACTCCACCGGGATGACGTCCTCCGGTGCCACCTCTCGCGAGAGGGTGGACTTCTTCCTCGGCCGGTACCTGAGCGACCGGATGTGATCCGCGGGGCTGGGCTGCTTCGCCAGGACATCCTCGAACCTCAGGCCCATCTCTTGGAGCCGCGAAAACATCTCCCGGTTCTGCCGCCTGCAGGCGGAGTCGTGGAGCTCTCCCCGGCTGCGGAGATGGTCAAGGAAAGCAGAGGGCGGCGGCGGAACCCACTTGCCCTGTCCGTCCATGTGGACGAGGGGCTCGGGGGCAACCTGGTTGCCACCGACGCGCTTCAGGTTTGCCTTGAGCGCATTGCGCTTGGCCTCTCGCAGCAGGTCCCGCTTTACATAGGACATGGTTGGCGCCTACAAGGATGCAATTAGCTGGATGGGTACCTTGAAGAAGCATACTTGTGTGCACTGGCGCTGTTCACTAGAAGGGTGAATCTGAGGAATCTTACCGAGTATCTTGGATGGAGCGAGAAACTAGGTTCAGCGGCCGGCCCAAGCCGTCCAGAGTCGCTTTCCGAAACCTAGGGAGGCTGGCAGGAGTCTGATTTGTGGGTGTGTCGATATTTAGGCTTGGCCGACTTGGTCTTGAGCCTCCGAAACGTATCTGGGAGACCGTAGAAGGGCGGCTATGATTATGAAATCCGCAATAAAGAGAGGTGGCAAAATATCAAAGGGGCTTCGAGAACTGGAAGCTCGCTTGCAGGTTTCGAAAATGGAGCAAAGAAAGCAGTATGATTGGTGCGCAAGCGTGCTTGTAGAAAGTCTGGTTCTGGTTGCTACTTTCTGGTCTACAGGAGGTAGAGCTTCTGCGGTGGGGGCTCTCGCGCGGGGTTGTTTGGGGCTCTCCAGGCCGCGAGGAGGAAAGCGCGGACGAGGTAAACGAGGGCGGCCTTGGTCTATCTGAGGGACTGGAGAGAGGAATGGTAGAAACTCTGGCTGTTCTGCGCAAAGATTCGGGAGGTCGAGGAGGCGAGGTGTCGATGCGCAGGCGGCTCGTGAAAGCAATATGGCTTGACGAAGATCTGCTTCTGCCAGTCTGGTGTTTATAAGAAGAGGAAAAACAGAGTTAAAGGATAGGTAGAGAGAGCTTGGACCGGTCGTGGGTGGGAAACAAAACGCGTGACGGAGAAAATGCGGATGGATAAAAGGTTCCCCAGACGCGGCAGACGGAACAGGCGGCAACCGCAGGTGTGTTTCGTCGATATTTTGAACTAACCCGAGGGAAGAGCGCCCGTCGTCTGAGGAGGCAGGTGTAAGTGAGCTGGATCAAGCTCGCCCAATCAGCAAACAAACAATCAGCAAAGAAACAAACGGCGGCGGCGCACAACCCCGCGGCTGGCCCGAGAAAAGACGGCCGCAACACTTGGAGAAAGCATCTGGTTTTAAATACACCTCCAAGGTGACTCAGGGCGGAGCCGTTCACCTGTTTGCACCTTCATCTGATGCGTTCGTCGGACATGATCGTAAGGCATCCACCCGTTGGCCAGTCAGAGCTGAGTTACAGACGAGACCAGTCCTGATTTGGAGGTGACTGCATTCGAGGGCAACAGAGAGGAGTCTGTGATTGGACTTTCAGCCAAGCGTGTTGCTTTGTACAGATAATACAGAAAATGAATCTACGGGATATGCCCAGTTTACCTGCGTCGAGCCCATATAAAGCCAAGAAAAGGAATCGGCCCGATCCAAAGTGCTGGAATTGCGGGCCAGATGCGCTCTTGTTTGAGGCATGATGCAGTCGTTCACTAGAGCTCCTCTCTAGAGCGCCTGAGGAACAGCGCCAGCAAAGCCCGCTGCTTCTCCTCGGCCGCTTTCCTCTCCTTGTCCTTCCCCGCGGCGGACTGCGGAGCCCTGCAGACGCCGGCCTTGACAAGAGCCTCGGCAAACCGACGCTCCTTAGCCTGCCTCTTCTCAAGAGCCGCGATGGCCTCTGCAACATCCCTGCCAGGGCCCCTGCGGAAGCTGAGCGAGCGCCGGGCGACTGCCACGGGGGAGCGAGCGCCGGCTCCCCCGCCCAGGGACGACCTGAGCGCCTCCATATCCGCTCTGCCGAATGGCGAGAGCTCGGCGAGCACCTTTGCCAGAGTCGACATCAGGAACACAAAGGAGATGTTGTGGTTGGGTGCTGACGCCAGGATGTCGAGAACTGCTGTTTTGTCGTCCTCGTCCTGCGTGTGGTTTAGCATCGCGCCACCGCTGCTGGCGCCGGGGGCGAGCGAGGGCAGAGATGCCTGCTCGATGCGCGTCCAGAGCGATATAGGGATGACGCCATCGGTAAGGCCACCGAGGAGCAACAGCAAGACCTCGGTCACTGCCTCGAGTCTCTGTATCGTAGGTACTTCAGGCTCAAACGCGTCGGCGATGTTCTTGTCTAGGTCGAGCATGTCAATGATCGAAGCGGCCAGCTCGTTCCGGCGCGGATCGACAGAAGACCCCGGTTCAGCAAAGGGCCATTCTGGCTTGTCCCTCGGTAGCTCACACCCTACGAGCATTTGCTCGTCGGCGAGGGCACGCTCGGTAAGCGTCTCGACGGCCTCGGTGAGCTTGAAAAGCTCTTTTGGGGCTGCACAGCGAACTTCCTGTTCGTACGGTATTGAGCCAACTTTGGTGCTCCCCTTACCTTCGTCCTTCTTCTCTGACAGCCGCCCGACGAGAGTCCGGATTCCTCCATCCGGCACACGTATCAGCTCATCGATTGACCGACCGATGCAGGTGGGCATCCAAGTGGCGCGCACCGGGATGAAGTGGTCTCGGCCTTCTTCCACCCGCAGCACTAGGACGTCGTCGAGCGAAGCCTGACCGTCGTTCAGCCGTGTGCAGAGACTGATCTCGTCCACCATCATCTCGACCACGGCCTTAACGGTCTCCCCGGGCTCAAGCGTCACCTCCTTGCCCAAGTCAACAGCCTCGGAGTCTTCCGCCTGTTCCCCTAGATCCGTGTGTAGAAATATGGTGGTGAGCCACTGTGCGTCGCCATCTTGCTCGTCTGTTGTTGGCTTCCCGACAAACGAGAAGCGTGCGGGAACGCGGCCCGTGTTTGCGAGGGTCATGGAGACCTTCTTCTTCTTTAGAAAATTCACTTCCCCAAAGTCGATGGCGTTATCAGCCAGATCTGGGCCCAACGGCTTTGTCGCGCCGTCTTGTCGGTCGGCATGCTCCATCACGATGGTTATCGCTGGTCGGCCCTCGTTTTCGGCACGATCGAGCTCCCGAGCCACATCTGCGAGAACCTTGGCCTTGAGCTCGGGGACGGCGGCATCATAGTCCAACGTAAATACTGAGATGACAGGCTTGTGATCCGATGACTGCACACGTTGATGTGATGTATATATATCGAGATGAATGTGATCATGGAACCCTTCCTTCGTGATGACATCGTCCCCGGACTCTTCGTCTCCATCCTCGTCGTATTCGTCGTAGTCGAACACTTTGCTGCTACCTTGGGCGGGCGGGTGGTCGCCATCATTGTCTGGGTCGTAATCGAACAATACCTCGTCGTCGTCGGCGGCATGATCGATGCCTCGAGACTTCATGTCCTCGTCCTTTTTGCGGGCATCCTCGGCATCCTTGATCTTCTGTTCGTAACCATCCTTGTCCTTCCTGGTCCTGTAGAGGATCCGATCGCACCAACTGGGCGCCCGCTTCTTCTCACTCGTATCGAAGAGCCCAACGGTGCCCACATCGTACTTGTACGAGGGCAGAAACGTGATGGGCCCTTCTCTCCAGCCCTCGTGGAATACTTTGCCCTCCCTCACCAGCCGTCGGAGCTGGTCATGAGGGAGCAGCGAGTCCAGCGTTGCCTGCAGCGATGCCGGGTCTTCTGAGGGGTCCGGCATGAATTCGTCCGGATCTGGAAGCGAGAGGGAGGAGTCGTCTCCATTGGGGTCCATATTGGGGTCCATGGTGCTCCGTGATTTGGCCGAGCCATCATCTGTGAGATCGTCACTGCTTTCCGAGCTGCGCAGAACGATGGGGTCCTCCCCGCTCAGGGCTGTGTCCTGGGAGCCCTTCCTGCTGAGGCCGTACTCGCCCCTGGTGTGGAGCATCAAGAGCCTCCGGATGTCATCGCCCGGCAGCCCGTCCATCCTGAAGTTGAGATCGCCGAACCAGAAGGCGAAATCCTCGTCACCGATCGTTTCTGGCTCGGTTCCGTTGCTGCCGGGGAAGGTGACAGGCTTGAACTGCGCCCGGCTGAGAATTTGGCCGACATCCCAGATCCGGCGATCCAAGTATGTGGCATCATGGCCGCTAGCGAGGTGACAGTTGATGAAGGTCATGCGCGTGGTCTCTCCAACGACAATACGCGCGGCCACAGCGCCCTTGTTGCCCATATATCCAAGGAGGCCAGTTCCAACTGTTGTCAAACTGACGTTGCTGACGGACGGCGCAACATCTGGGGAGGCATAGACCAGTAGTAACAGGCCAAGCAGTTGCTCACAGGCAACTAGCTCGTAGCCCTTCGGCAGAGCCGCCTCCAGTGCCACCTTCCACTTGTCTATTGTGCCTGGGTCCGAGTATACAACGCCTCTCATGTACTGGGTGGCGAGGTTCAGGTCTTCCACTTCCTGAAGCCCAAGCACATAGAGACCAACCTTCTCTCCGCCGACCAGGCGGATCGCGTTGGGGTCGGCGTCAAGGCTGTCGGTCGTTTCCTCCCTTTCGATGGCGGGGTTGCGTGCGACGTCGAGGGTGGCAAGCCTCTTGTCAATGCCCTTGCCGGACACGAACCAGTTCGCGAGATCCCTGTCCGTGCCCGCACAGGCGGCGACGTTCCATGTGCCCACCTTGACGCGCATTCGATGTGGTCGGATGTATTCAGCACGGCGCGCATGGACGGCGCGGTGGAGGGAGAGCGGGCTCGAGGTGATATCGGCATTGTCGCCAGCGTCGGCGGGCGGGTCGGGGCTTGTGGGGGACGCCATGGTGAACAGAGGTACGCAGGCGTCCGAGGACGCAGATGACCGCTGCGGTGGGCGTTGTCGTCGAGCTCGGGTGGGTTGAGGGCGGCGAGGGCGGCGAGGGCGGCGGGGGCGGCGAAGGGTGATAAAATAGGGGAAACGATGGTTCAAAACTGGGGTCTCGCCCCTTCGATAGATAGGTTGCTGGGTAGCTATGACTGGCAAAGAGGACCGGCGTCGTAGACGACCAGCGCAGCTCTGATAGTCCAAGGCTTGGCGCCATTCACCATCATGACGCGATGGCGGGGTTCCAGTCAAGAGAAGACGCGATAATTCGACATGGCGGTAATTGTATTTCTGCCTTGTGGTCTGTAGTCTCGCGCCTGGTTGTGCCTAGACATGCGCCGCGTTTTGTTGGTGGACTTTCAAGGCAAAGGGCAGAAAGTTAGGGAAGCCGGCGGGACGTGTTGACAAGGGCATGGCACCTGTGACGTCTCGCTGGGGCAGCCTGGCGGGGTCAGCATGAATCGCACCAGAGTTAATCGACCCCACAGTAGGTGCAGCTCCAAGCTAGCGTCCAACCCCAGTCACCACCCACCAGGCGCGTCTTCGCCATTCATCGCAGGCAGCTGTCGTCGACGGCGCGCAACAACGACTGGCAACTAAGCATATACAAGCCGAGCAGCCTCACCCGCAGTACAAGAGTCTACAGGATCCCTACCGAGTGCTCCGTCTCCCCTGCACCCACCCCACTGAAACGTTACCTGCGTCGGGTAAATCTGCCTCCTTATACTCCGAACCACGTCCGCTTCGTCCAACCCGCTAAGAAACTGCTGCTGGGCACGGTTCGCGCTGGTAGCGACCATCGTCCACGGCGCAAGCCCGATCCCGATCCCCGCAGACATGAGCCGCGCGACACCCCGCAAGTCGCGGCACCGACACAGCGCCAGCGGTGGCGGCGGCGGCGGCTCCAAGGCGACTGCAGTGGCCACCGACTACGAATCCGATGCGGCCCAGTACATGGAGGCGCGAGTCGACGCACCGCAGGTGCTGCAGCCGAACCGGACAAACACCGAGATAAACCTCAAGGTGCTGCAGCGCTACCTGCCCAGCATCCAGTCCATCGCCTCCATCGCCGCCAACGCCGTCGTCTACACGTTCGACCCGGCCACCAACGCCTGGGACAAGTCTGGCGTCGAGGGCACCATGTTTGTGTGTGACCAGGAACCGCTGTCGCTTGGCGGCTCCGGCAGCCTGCCGCGCAGCTGCGTCTTTGTGCTGAACCGCCGGGCCCTCGAGAATGTCATCATCGACCTGGCTGTTGTCAACCACTACGAGATCTCGGCCGAGCTGCTTATGTTCAGGCTCGAGCAGCCAGCCGAGAAGGTCCTCGGGCTGTGGATACATGCAGACCAGGACGACACGCGGCAGAGCAATGCCAGCATCATCGAGGAGCGCTGGAAAGGGGTGCGTGATGCCGGCGAGGTCGCTATGGGGCCTCAGCACGGCAAGACTGTCGGCGCCATCGGGGCAACAGAGGAATCACTGGGCCCAGCAATGCAGGCTATTGGCCGCAAGCTGAGTCTCAGCGACTTGTTTGGACGGACAAAGGATGCTGCCCATGATCCTGGCCCATAGACTTTGCTTCATTGAAGACAAGAAAAATGAAAATGAAAATGAAAAAAAAAAAAACCATTTTGGGAATATGCGAAGCTCCCATACTTGGCTGCCTTGGGCTATGGGCCCTATCGTTGGCACTCCTACTGTCTACTTCTATAACCACTATCAGCTCATTCTAAAAGCATGGCATGGGTCGCCGCCGCAGACATCAGATAGCACATGTAACCACCCAGGCATTGACCAAGCCATCTGGACAGCGATGAGAGGGGCGTGCCCCCATCTAGTGTGTGGGTAGGCAGCGGTTTTCCTAAACAGCAGAGGGTGGTCGGGCCAATGCACACTCAAAACTGAATATACAACCCCAAAGTAGATACCACACCATCCATTGCAGTACGTTCTCGCTCGGGACCGCAGAAGAACTGCAAGTAAACTATGACCCCTTGAGTCTAGTTTAGGCGAGGGCTTCCGATGATATAGGACACGGTCTCTTTATTAGTCATAGGATCTTCTTTTCACAATTCCCTCGCGGCCAAGCGAGATATCGGGTTCCAGGTATCCTCAAAATGTCCAGCCAATACCTCCCCGTACTTTCAAAAAAGCGCTCACGGACAAGGGAAACGGCCGAGGGCTATGGCTCTATACCGAGAACTCGAATGCCGCCGCCACGCTTTGATGCGAATGGTTCGCCACAGCCCCCAGGAATTGCTCCGAAATGTAAACCCCGAGCTACTGGCCAGCATTGCCCTTCTTGTCGACATATACGTGTATATCTGGGGTATTTCGTTCTTCCCTGGTATGATATCAGCAAGCTGGAATTAACCCTTGCAAAGAAGCCTATGACCTAGTCTCGCTGAGATTGCGCCCTCGCACGACTCCACAGCAGCTCGTCAAGATACAAGTGCGCCTTTCCTAGTGACAGTCGGGTAGCAAGCAGCAACGGGGGCGAAGGCATCTCCTAGATGGCTGGGGCCTTGCAGGACACGGATTCAGTATGGCGCGGCGACTGTGGGTTGACCATGTACATGTGCATGTGGACCAATGTGACTTCCGAGTGCAGATGCGAGCAGGACAAAATGTGGTGTTGACATCTGAGGAAGGTTATCAAGCCGGAGTAGGAAACCGAGGAAAGGAGACGAGGCCTCCTGGATAAGCTGCTTTGTCAGTGTATACCCCAGATACCTGTTCCTGTTTTAAGCCAGCGGTCGGCCTACGTGGGTACCTGGGAAGGTAAGGTCCTGTCCTTTTTCTTGGCTGTCGTGGGTAGATGCAGTATCAAGCCGCCTGCTTAGAGAAGGTGTGAGGAGCGGAGCTGGTGGCTACCGTCCCTTTATTGCCAGAGCTTTCGCATGCGGCTCACAAGGGAAACCCAGGCATACCTGACATCCCCGCCGAGCTTGCCGTCGGATGTCCGGGTATAGACTCATCGAGAGAGCTTGGGGTCATCCGGGAGGCGCTGTGACCTCCCAGTACATCAAGACCGGATCCTTGTTCGCCCCAGAGATCGGGAGACGGCTTAGCAAGAGTACCAAAAGGAAGAGGTTTGGGATGAGAGAGTGGGAGAGCTAGAAGAATCTGCAGAAGATGACGTTAAGAGTGTGCCCAGAGGTTTGGGATTTGCCGAAACCTACCGAGGGTGTTGGCGCTTTCCTGCACGCTTTGTTCGTCTCGAGAGTCTGAGCTTTGTGGCTCACTCAATGGTGAGTCTGCGGTAACCCAACGCCCGAGTTGGGTTTTTATTATAGAAGAATCTAGTCCAGAGACAGGTAAAAGACAGGGCGCTTGAGTCTGACATCAGCACGCTCCAGCCATGCCAACCATCGTTTTCAAAGCGGCCGGTGAGATATCCGCTGCGAAAACGCCTCGAGAGCCACGCACAGGCAGGAGATGGGTAACAGTTGAATATATCGACGCTACTAGCGCACGAACTCGGGAGACCCAGGAAGCTTGTTCGGATATGACCACTGATCTCGTCAGCAAAAGAAGCTGCCTAGCTAGACTCGTATGCCAGCTTGCCGTATCTACGTAGACAACAGCTGCGGCTTGCGCCTCTCCGCAGTCAACGCATTGGCATGCCTGCATCAGCTTTTCCCGTCCGAAGCGTACGTCTGATCCACCCTTTCGCAATCACACGCATACTCCCAGGCACCTTGATCCTTTCCTTGACAAGACCTGGTGATCGAGACCGTCTCGCGGCATCGACGTGGCGGTGACCTCCCCCGGAGCATCCTGGCGCTTACCCGGCGCTGCCCCCTGATGGCGACAGCTAGCCACGACAGCTCGCCCGCCACGCCAGAGATTCCGCGGCGGGAGGGCATGGGCGGTCTGTTCACCCCCTCCCCTACCCTCCCACGCGACTGATGCCAAGTCCGCGACGAGCCCGTGACGGTGACGCCGAGACCGAAGGGCGTGCTGCCAGGCGCTCTTAAAATGGACTGCGTCTGGCGGGCTTCTGACAGATCGTGAAAGCCTGTTCCACATACAATCAAGTTAGTCGAGTCTTTAACCACCCTCCTCTGACCAGACCCTCGCTCCTCGCTTCTTTCACACTCCTAGGAGCCCTTTTGCGTCGCCCTCTCAGGTTCCCTAGATTATACCCTCCTGAACTGGGATATCTGCGACATAACCCCTCCCTAACTCTCACTTTCTACTCTAGCAAGCCTCCCACACATATCTTCAAGACTAGCAAGGAGGCACCGTCGCCATGCAGATCAAGCGAGCTCTGCCCCTGGCACTCGCCGGTGCCGTTCTGGCGCAGAACCAGAACGTCAGCGTTGTGCCCCTGGCCACTGCTCTGGCTTCGCAGTCTGAACTTACCAACCTGCTTGGTGAGCTGCCCTCGAGATGAAATCGATTGTCTCGATGTGTTCAAAGGGAATAGAGAGAGCATGGCTAACGCGCGGAACACGCACCAGCCATCCTCGGCACGCAGCCGACCTTCCTGGCCCAGCTATCGCTCACCCAGAACGTCACCTTCCTGGCGCCCAACAATGCGGCCATGGACGCCTTCCTCAACGGGCCCAACGCGACGCCGGCCAACCACCAACGCCGTCGGCGTGGCCGCGCTGCTGAGCTATCGCGTGCTCAATGGCACCTTCTACGACGCCGACATCAAAGACAGAACCGTCCTCGTCAACACGGCCCTCAACCTGGCCCCCTACTCCAACATCACGGGCGGCCAGCGCGTGCTCATGAATCGCACCGACGGCAACGCCACCATCACCTCTGGCCGGATGGACATGGCCAGGATCGTCACCTCGGTAAGGGCGGCAGCCATGCATTTGCTTCGCCGGCTTCTTCCTCCTCCTTGAACGTTGATTCCAACGGAATGTCATGGCCTGCAGAACGTCAACTTCATCGGCGGCACCATCCACATCATCAACCGGGTCCTCACGGTCCCGCTCAACGACACGCGGACCATGATGGACATGAACCTGACGGCGACCGTGGGCGCGATGCGGCGGGCGTCGGTGGCCAACCGCATCGACACGCGGCGCGACGTGACCATGTTCGTGCCCAGCAACGAGGCCTTCAACCGCATCGGCAGCCTCGAGAGCAGCCTGTCGACGGAGCAGCTGGCCAGCATCATGAACTACCACGTCGTTGACGGGCAGCTGCCGCTCTACTCGGCCCAGCTGCGCAACCAGTCGGTCAACACGCTCAACGGCGCCCAGCTCACCTTCACCAACAACAGCGGCGTCATGTTCGTCAACGGCGCCCGCATTGTGCAGCCCAACGTGCTGACAAACAACGGCGTCATGTACGTCATTGACAAGTAAGTACATGTATCTTGTGCACGCACACGCCCAGCTTCTCCCCGAGCCAGATCAAACCACAAGATTCTAACCACATCGTCTCCCCCGTACGCAGCGTCCTCAACCCCGAGAGCACCTCGGCCCGCCCCGCCGCCTCGGCCACCACGGGCTCGCCCGCCTTTGCCGACGCCACCAACGGCCCCAGCGGCGTGCCCTTCACCTCGGGCATCGCCGGCCCCGAGCCCACCCAGGGCCCCGGCAACGGCAACGGCAACGGCGGCGGCAACGGCAGCGGCAACCCCGGCAGCGGCAACGGTGGCAACAACGGCGGCAACAACGGAGGCAACCCCTCGGGGGGCGCCCGCAGCGCCGCCTCCCCCTCCTCCTCGGTCGGCACCGCCGCCGCCGCCGTGGCCGCCCTCCTTGGCGCCGCCGCGCTGTTCGCCAGTTGGTGAGCAATCCTTGAGGAACGAGTCACGACGGGACTGTAGTGGGAAGAGAGGGGCTTCGCGCCAGGAGACGACGGGAGGTGGGTTGTCCGGAGGGGGCCAAGGTTAAGCCTGATGGTATAGGAGTTCGGGGACTCGGTGGAGGTGGCGACTGCTTGGGATTTCGATTCAACCCCTTGTACTAATTTTGCACGCTGCCTATTTTTTGGATGGTATACATAGCTGGGTAACTAACACTTGCGGGAACCTGCCACCACGTCCACCCCGATATGGTGAATTTGGGGATGTCAGAACATGCTACCCATTGTGCAGCCCGAGATGTATCCCCCCAAAGCCAACGGACAGGAGCAGTCCCTGCGAGGGGGAGGTTCCCATCCCGAACAGAGATGAGCCGTACCCTAAGGTGCATCACAACCCCTTGCCGGCTTTGGGGATGTCACGAGTACCAAGCGCCTACTCACCAGCAACGGAAATAGGAAGAAAAGTCATCACGGCACAACTCAAGAGGCAAGATATTCGGGGCTGATGGTTTTAAATTGACTGCTAGCGCACAATAGCCAAGAACAAGACTAACTAGAACACTCTGCAACTGGATCAACCCCATGGGTACTTTTTCGAATCCCGAAAAATACATCCCTGTCCCCCAGAACTCGCCACGAGCGCGGGTTCTCAACAAAGCAAAACAACCACAAGCACCAAGACACCAAATGAAGAGGTCGGAGCACCGGACAGCTTGGTCACCCTACCGGGCAGGGGCGGGCTGGCTATTCTGGTAAACCTGGTGCGCGTTAAATCTGGGTAATGGAAACCGCTTGTTGCACGGCAGGGCGAGGGCGGCGGGGCTGGCGGAGCCTGCGGGCCTCAAGGTCGCGCTTGGCGGCGGGGGCGGCGGCGCCTTGGGCGATTTGCTGCGCGTTATTGGCGACCTCGGAAGCGGACCCAATAAGCGAACCAATGTTAGCCGCTTTTTCGATGGCTTTACCGCCACCGCCGGTACGACCGGTACGGCCAGAACGACCGCGGCGGGGCTCGCGGGCCTCGATATCACGCTTAGCGGCGGGGGCGGCGGCGCCTTGGGCGATTTGCTGCGCGTTATTGGCGACTTCGGAAACGGACCCAATAATCGAACCAACGTTAGCCGCCTTCTCCAAGCGGTTGCCGCTACCGCCGGTACGACCGGTACGGCCGGAACGACCGCGGCGGGGCTCGCGGGCCTCAAGGTCGCGCTTAGCGGCTGGGGCGCCCTGGGCGATTTGCTGCGCGTTATTGGCGACCTCGGAAACGGACCCAATAATCGAACCAACGTTAGCCGCCTTTTCCAAGCGGTTGCCGCTACCGCCGGTACGACCGGTACGGCCGGAACGACCGCGGCGGGGCTCGCGGGCCTCAAGGTCGCGCTTAGCGGCT